TAACACAGGCCCTTCTTAGAGCAATTTCTCACCTTGATATTTATGTCTTTGTTCTAAAAGGTGATATTCAATTATCTAATAGTCATTGTCAGTCTTACACCAACAGTCTACAATACATTAAGAGTCAATATCTAAAATAATGCTAAGTCATCACATGGCAAACTGTTTGCTGTTAGGGTGACTAGCAGTCTCTGTATTTGATGTAATGGAGGCAAGGCTGGGAGGACTCTGGGCTCAAGTCCCAGCACCACTCAAAATACAACAAAAACTTTATCACACCAACAAATCTAGAGGAAACTGTTACGAAGAAAATTTTTCATACTAGTGTTGTTTTTACCAAAATCTCAATCATTCTATTTTACCAATAAGGACTAGAGTCAGATGCTGTGGGATGAAAGTCTGCTAGCTTAGAGAGGACGAGAAAGCACCCAGCTGATTTTCCTCCTCTGCCCTTGTCCCAAAAGCCTCTCTTCTCCTACCATCTCAAACAATCTCCTCAAATCCAATGTCCCTCCCTTCTACTTCCTGTGTGCCTCTCTATCTGTCCTCCTTTCCATAGTTTTTTCTTAATAATAATTTTATGTTCACTTCCTGTCAACTGGTTGCTTGCCCTGCCTCTTGACCTGTGGTTGACTTTATTTAACCCTGTTAAAAATACTCAAGCAGAACACTCTTGGATTAAAAGTGTGTGCTAGAGCCGAGCCACACAACTAGAAACAGGTTTTTCCAGTAAATAACGAGATCTAGGGGTTCACAGTGTGATCAAATATCCTACAACATACTAGTTCTTAATTATTTCTGAAGTTTTCATAAAATAGCCAATAAAATGGACTTTTAAGTTACCTCTGGTCCGGAAGAGAAAACCTGCTCATACTGAGTGGGCAAATGCACCATGGCCCTTTCCAGACCTGGAGCTAGGGCCATCCTTAGCCATGTCTGCCCCGTCTGCTTCCCAGTCAGGGAGGCAAAGCGGAATCCTGTGATACAAGTTCAATATATCCTTGAAGTTTACAAAGCAAGAAATATAAAAATTTAAACATTCTTTCTTCTCTACACTACTCACTTTCACAAGTACCAGTAAACTCTCAACTCAAATATTATGCAACAGCTTCCTCAAGTTGAAACATTCCATCCTGCAGGAAGCTCCTTGAGCCAAAGGTAAACAACTCAAAATAGCTTCAGGAAGTCCCTGAAACTGACCAGATTCAGTAGGCCCCTCCCTGCCAGAGTAAACAATAAACATTGAGAGTCCCCCTCACAAGGAGCTGAGCTGCAAGAAAGACTCAGAGGAGAAAAGCTTCAAAGATGACTCTGGACCAGAACAGCTACCTGGAAGAAGCATATAGCAGCAGAGCTGCCTAGAAGAGGTTTAGACTAACTGAGGCACCTGGAAAAGGCACTCTCCAATCTGCTGAGCTGCCTCCAGGCTATGCAGTGAGCTCCAGGTTCCCAGATTTTTGTGAGCTGACACCCATGATGAGGTAAGCTTTGGTCATGCAGCTTTGAGTCATTTCTGCTCCTGTAAGTAACCCCTCACCCATATTCTGTAAGTAACCCCAATAAATTCATTGGTTCACCAAAGCTGGACTTTATAGTGGTATCTGTACCTTCGTCTGTTGTGGAATTCCTATCTGGGGTGAGTAGATGGATATATTGCATCTCCCCAGGAAACATTTTGTCACACAGCTTCTACTAACAGGAGAACCTGCTGTGCACTGCGTGTGCAGCACTGCCCAGAATAGTACCCAACCGGCGTCCATATATACCCCAAAAGTTGGGATGCTGGGGAGCTCGGGGGGTGGGGGGGAGAAGGAGGATTCCATGTTCCAGTCTCACTCCTCCCATTTCAGACCCTGCCCCGCCCCCCCGAAAGCCCACCAAGCAGTGGCCCCTCCCCTCAGAAAGCCCACCCAAATATCAGCCCCTCCCTGGGGCTGCTCAAGACCACACCTACAGGCTACTTAAGACCTGGCCACCTTAACTGCTGTGCACTCTTCCCCTGCCTTCCTAAGAGCCATCTGGGAGATGCTTTGCTCTGCTCGGATTAAACCTGGATTTATTAATTTGCCTTGACTGGCTTATTACATTGGCAGTGGAGGATATCCAATAACTGGAAGTCCAAAATTTGTCAGTATCTATGCTCGGGGCGATGAGAATGCATATTTAAAGGAGCTCCACAAGATGAACAAAACAAACTTCACTTTGCTCAATTTCCAATTCTATTTAAACTGGTACAAAGACTTTCAGATTCAAATCTAATTTTATGCACCAAAGAAATACAATGAATCCACTACACCTAGAAAATCTGAAGTTGGGTTTCTTAACTAAATACCTCATTTCTGTGTATAGTCTTTGTGTGCATGTATGTGTGACTTGATGCTAAAGATGGAAGTCAGAACTTTGAACATGCTTGTCAAGCATTCTACCACTAAACTGTTATCTCCAGACCCCACTCCTCCCTTTTTCTGAGGGAAGGTCTTGCTATCCAGCCCAGGCTGGCATCTACCTCAGGATCCTCTTGCCTCAGCCTCCCAAGTGCTAGGATTAGAGGTATATGCCACTGTGTAGGGATTATGGGTCAATTTATAAAGCAAAAGTCTGTGTAATAAATAACTGTCTCTCAACTGTTGAGAAGGGCTGAGATAGATAGGGTTTGCAGTGCATATGACCAGCAGAGATAAATGGTCAAAGGCTTAATTAGACCACAATATTGTTTTTGCTGCTTTTATCATTATACTCAGGTATTAAGTAAAGATCCAACTTGGGCATCATTTAATTCTGCTTGGTCCGGGTAGTAGTTGTGAACTGCCATAAAACAGATCCTTGTTAAACATTTATAATATCAAGTTTATATTCATGGCAGCCATGCTTAAAATAGTAGTAGAAAAAAAGGCCTTTTGTGGTTGTTTTAAAGTCCCAGCTTAAATAAATGTCAAAAGACAGCCTTGAGTTTATCTCCCAAACATATTCTGAAGGATAAAAAAAAAAAAAAAAAAAACACCCAATATCTCTACTGTACTTGAAAAAACAAGCCCCACATTGATTTCTCTGAAAGACTACGGGAGTAGATGAAGCCCTGCATATTTTCAGTGAGCTCACCATGACTTAGCTTTTTTATCTAGAAGCTAGGACGTGTCACATAAAGCAACATTATTAGACAGTGGCCAACAAAGACCTGCAGGGTTTGTTCAGTTAAACACACAGCCAACATCTAGCCCAACTACTTCCCAACACAGGCTGCCACCTGTAAACAGAACATAGCTTTGTGCTCTGAAAGAGCTTCTCCAATGGAAGGTTCAGGAATATAATGCCATCTTCAGAGTAGTCTTTAGACTTAAAGAAGTAAATTTGGGGTGGTAGTGGTGGAGAGATGGCTCAGGGATGGCACACTGACTGTTTTTTCCAGGGGACCTGGATTCAATTCCCAGCACCCACATGGCAGCTCACAACTGTCTTTAACTCCAGGATCCAACACCCTCACACAGACATACACACAGGCAAATTGCCAATAAAAAATATAAATGAATTTAAAAAGAGTGAATGGTTAACACTATTTAATTAACTAATTAATTAATTAAGGCGCCAGGGAGAAGGTTCAGAGGATGTGATGGTTTATATGAGAATTGACCCCATAGGCTCATATATTTGAATGCTTAGTCACCAGTGAGTGGAACTGTATGAAAAGGACTAGGAGGTGTAGCCTTGTTGGTGGAAGCATGTCTTTTGGGTGAGCTTTGAGGTTTCAGAAGCCCACCCTAGGCCAGGCCAAGTCTCTGTCTGTCTGTCTGTCTGTCTCTCTCTCTCTCTCTCATCAGGATGTAAAGCTCTCAGCTACAGCTCCAGTGCCATGCCTGTATGTTTCCCATCATGATGATCAGGGACTTACCCTCTAAAACTGTGGGCAAGCCCCCAATTATGTTTTCTTTTGTAAGAATTTCCTTTGTCATGGTGTCTCTTCACAGCAGAACAGTAACTAAGGTAGAGAGTGAAGACGCTGGCCTTACCAAGCCTTGCAACCTGAGTTCCATTCCTGGAACCCACATGGTAGGAGAGAACCAATTTTTCTTCAAGTTGTCCTCTGATCTCCAGGTGCTAAGCTTTCATTTCCTCTAGTAATAATAGCCTTAAAACATCATTAGGGTTTTTTTTTTTTCCTTCTAACATCAGATAAATGAGAGGACCGGAGGGCCAAACCAGAGCCATAACAGGCTCCCCTGGCAGCCCTGACATGAACTAGGCCTTAGCTTCGGTTCACTAGAACCGGCTGGAACTGAGCAAGCAATTCCCAGGAAAACCACAACTTAGGGGCAACCAATCAACAGGTGCCCTGCCCCAGCCTCTTGTTGGCTCAGCAGGAACCCCAAAGCCCTTCTCCTGGCTCAGCAGATGCCCTCAGACTTCTGCTAGCTAAAGAGAGCTTTCCCTACCCTCTCATCAACAAGCCCCTAGACACTAGACACCCCCACCATCACCAATGGGCCCCTAACCACTACAGCCTCCCACCAATCAGCTCCCAGACTAATCCGTCATCCACCAATCAGCACCAGATTAATCTCTCCTCCCTAGAATTCCCTTACTTCTGCTTAAAAGGAGCTTTTGACACCCCCCCCCCCCCCCCTTTAGGGCTGCTCAGGAATACTCGCAGCTCTTTAATAACCAAGCACTTCATTCTTATTGACTGGAATTTAACATCCAGACTCACAGATGTCACATGCCTGTAAAATGTTACCTCAACACAACCATGACAAAATCAGAATTCATATTCTGTAAGATGAAAGAAATTCTGCTGATGGTCTTGATTCAGCTATTTTATAGTTAAAATTATTTTTTGCTCAAATATCCACTGACCTTAAGGTTTTAATAAACATTTTTTTCACCACAGAGACTGCAGTCAACATTTACTAATGCCCACTCTGTATCTGGCCAAGCAAGTGCAGTACCAATATCTCTCAGTCAACATGTGCTTCCTCCTGCCCAAAAGAAGAACAGCTGCTACTCACTGGGAATCTCTGGGGTCCCACAGCAGGCCTCGGCTGGCTCGGAACTGGCAGCAAGGGCACTGTAAGAAAACACCTTGCATTACAATCACTTGGCATCAGACCGCCTGGGAAGAAGACAACACATGAGATCTCACACAAAGCATACAGTACATATACTGGGCACACCAGTAACATTAAGTTTAGACTTTACCTATACACACTTGGTACTTTTAAGAATCTCATAAAAGGAGAGGGGAAGGTATTTTTGGCCCCAGAATAAAACTGTACAATATGAAGCTTAAGTTCTAACAGAGAATTATTATTTAGAATTAAAATATTTTTACAACAAAAGAAGGTAATTTTCTTTTGAAATAAAAAGACCTAGTTTCAGTTTGGGATGTGACATGGTAGGGTACACTTCTAACCCCACCGTTCAGGAAGTCTGAAGAAGGAAGACTGTTGCAAGTTTGAGGCCAGTCTAGGCTACACAGTGAGCTTAAGACCAGTCTAGATTACATAGTTTGACCCTGCCCAGTTGCACACAAATTGAAATGTGAATCCTATAGAATCACAAGAGGGAGAGAGAGGAAAAGAGGAAGAAAAAGAAGGAGGAAGAGGAAGGGTGGAATGATGCTCATGTACCTTACAGAGAATGACAAGGAAGCAAACTACTGTGCTGACACTTGCAGGCTGGTTTTGTTTTCAAAGAGGTCAAATTCTTACCAGTCTACTATATCAAGAAGTCCATTTGTTTTAAGAGGCTATCTCATGGTAGCAAAGAAGTGAGGGCTAAGCCCTTAGGGCTAAAGCATATGCTGCCCCCTTTGAAATGTGCCACACATTATATATTCATCTCACTGACCTGGATTTGGAAAAACACATCACTGTTGTGTTGTGGGAGCTTGCAGTCAAACATGGTGCTAGATGCACCCAGGAAAACTCCCATATGGAGCACCTTAAATGTGATGCATTTGGAGAGGTCTTTAAAGATGTCCCAATGGTGAGCACTAATCCAACCTAACCAGCATCCTGGAGAAAAGGAGAAATGCAAACACATGCTCACAGAGAGACCATGTGAGAACATGGGGAAGCCATCTGCAATCCAAGAAATGAGCCGAGGGGAATCAGCCTGCCCAACAGTGCTTGTTACAGCAGCCTCAGCAAATAATCAAAGTTTTAATACAGCACAACTTTAAGAGGACTCTGGGATATGAGAAATATAGACACAAAAAATGTACCTGAAGAAACAATCCAATCACTTTAAAATAATGACTCACTAAACTTTTATTTTCTGTATGTTACAAAATGAATTCCATACATTAAACGGTATCATGGTTAGTATAATTAACATCACACTTTACAGGCTCAATGTTAACTGATCGTGTGGACCATCTCATTATTTGATCAAAAGCAAACATAACTGAAACTTTCTCTCACAGAATGTCAAACTAGCAGAAGTCCAAACCCCTCTGAGTCTGTTCCAACATAAGATTCCCTGTAAGAAGACACACAGCAACCAGGCATCTAAAGGGAAAGAACAAGCTATATTGGGGGCGGGGGGGGGGGGGGGGGGGGGAGTTTTCTCATCTCAGAAGATTATAATGAAGGTAAAGAAAAGAATAGCATATTTAACAACAGATGGACAATATTTTTAAATCAAGTACCAAATATAAAACACCTAGCTCCTCTACCAAACCAACCATTTATAGGAACTAAACAATTCCAACACAGCCCATGATGAGAGCTGATTCTAATGAATGGGTTTGTTAACATGACCTCTGAGAAACTGGCAACACTGACAAAGTCTCAGCCCTCTTTCTTCAAGAAATAAATGATATACAGAGCTCACAGTGGCAGAGCAGAGCATGGGAGCAGGTGTGTTCCAGCCCAATCCAGAGAGCAGTAGGATCAAGACCCAACCCCTTGAATGCATCACATGGAGCAGAAGGAAACTTAAAACTTTGGATGTTCCCATCAGTCTAGTCAAACCTTGAACCTGAAAATTTGGTATTTACTATTTATGTAGACTCTTAGCATCCTGTATATCTATCTAACAGAAGACATTTTCAATTTATTACAATTGTAAAGATGGACATCTGGAGAACAACTTAAGCTTCCATCAAACTCATTTAATTATATTACAGTGGAGTAGTCTTTCACCCTCAGAAAGAGACGAGACTAATCTAAAAAAGATGTGTAGGGCTGGGGACTCTATCAAAGTGGAACAGCATTTACCTAGAACCTAGCTCTGAGTTCCAGCACCATGTAAACATATTCATACAATTAATCTTTAAATTGTTTATATGCTAATTATGAAAAGATTTTCAGGGGGAATGTAGAGATAATTCAGTGGTTAAGAGTACATTCTGCTCTTACAGAGGACTCAAATTCATAGCCCCATGTTGAACAGCTCACAACCACCTATAATTCCAGCTCAAGGGATCTAACACCTTTTGGCCTCCATGGGCACCTACATACACATGCACACACCCCTACACAGACACATATATAACTAAAAATAAATTTATCTAGGCATAGAGATAAATGCCTTTAACTCTAGCACCCATAAAGTAGAGGCAAGCAGATCTCTGTGAATTTGAGGCTAGCCTAGTCTACATAGTTAGTTCCAGGCCAACCAAGGCTACATAATGAGACTCTGCATGGATGATGGATGGATAGATGGATAGATAGATGGATGGATGGATGGATGGATGGATGGATGGACGGACATAATCTTTTTTATTGTTTGTCTTGAAACGGGGTATTACTATGTAGCTCTGGCTGTCCTAAAACTATATAGACCAGGCAAGCCCCAAACTCAGAGATCCGCCTACCTCTACCTCCCAAGTGCTGGGATTAAAGGCATACACTTTAAAAAGACTTTTAAGTGTACTTAGCTGTTAAGACTCAAAAGTGCTAGTTTTAATCTGCACTTTGCATGTACAGGCACTCAGCCTCTGCCAAAAGGGCTTCAATTTAAGCTTATTTACAAAGTACTAAATGACCAAATACTGCTAGGACCTCATATGTGCCCAGCAAGAATAAGGTTTTCTTCTCTCCAGCATCAGGTGCATGAAAGGCAAGGAGAGAGTAGCAGCAAAGCTCCTGGATTCATGGTGACCTTAAGGAGCTTCAAATGGACTCAACATTTACTGAGTCACTCAAGCTCCTGGATGCAGGATCTGCATTTAGTGCTTTCCCAGTCTGATGACTTCTAGCAAGTGACACCATTTGGCCTAGAGAACATTGAAGGACCTCTTTACAGCTTTATTATTTTTCAATACTATCTTATTTCTGCTAGGCTGAAGAAAATTATGTATCTTACCAGCCGCCAGTTTGTCACTGAAATTTACAATGAAATACCTAATTAACTGTGGCTGGTATAGGACAACTATTGAGAAATTCAATTTAGGGAAACAGAGAAGACTTACGTTAGGGCTGGAGGGATGTCTCAGAGGTGAAAGTGTGGGAACTAGAGTTTAGACCCCTAGCACCTGCAGAATGTCACATGGGTATGAAAACCCAGCTGCAATGGCAGCACTGGAAGGCAAAGATGGGAATGCCCAGAATAAGCTAGCAACTGACCAGGTGTGGCAAGGGACCCTGTGCTTTCTCTCTCAACTTGTGAAATTTCTCTACCTCCTGAGCTCACCAGAAAGAATCACTAACACTGTTCCTTTCTCAGGAGCCCCAAAGTTACAAGGATTCCTCCCATTCTTCCTGACAGGTAGGCTCCTTCCCAATCCTACTATTGTCCCAAACACAGACCGAAACCTCAGGCCACCTAAAGCTCCTTCTCTACTTTGTAAAATCAGTTACCAAGTCATTGCCACCATCTTCATAACTCACTGTCCCAATCCCATTGCCACTTCTGCAAGAAGGCACCTTCCTTTCCATGTAGCGCTCAGCATTCCATCATCGCTCTCCCTCCAGGACCAATTTCAATAATTATCTCCTCCTCTGGTGTTTTCTCTCCACAGAACCCATCAGTTTCAGGCCTGGCTTATCCACTACTCTGAACACAGCTGTCCATGCTACACCCAGAATAAGAGGCAAGCATAGCCAGTTACTCACAACATTGTGCCAACTCTCACCTCTAGTCATTTCTTCCAAATTTGGGTCTTACCCCTGTTCTGTTCCCAGAACACGGCTTCAAGACTTCTCTCCTCACTTTCCCACATATTCTACCCCTAACGTGTTCACTAAGAAAACTTTGGCCATCACAAGAACTTATCCAAGATTCTGCTTCTTACCCCCATACATGCAGGGCCACCTTCTGCTGTCCCTGGCCCCATGCCTGTAAGTTCCCCATCCCTGGTCCTGGCACACAGGGTCCTGCAGGATAAGGTTCCCTCACACCTAGATCAATGATGTGCCTCCCTGTGCAGCTAGCTCTTCCCTCTAAGTGTGGGATGTGACTCTCCCTGCTTTAACCTTTCTCAAGTCTGCTTCCCCTTCCCCAACAACAACTACTTAACTTCAGAGAACACTATGGAAAGAAAGCTTGTCCACACATCAGGACCTCCCCTTCTGAGCACAGTATAGTCAGGCTCCTTCCTACCACTTCCATTTCACAAGCCACTAACAGAACTGAGGTCTTCCCTCAGCCCATGGCAATCAACAGCCTACCCAGCAGTGCTTCTTCAGCTCCCCAATCTGCCCCTAGCAGCTCTACCAAATTCTCTTGCTCCCATTCACAACTCCAGTACCCCAGGTCTTCTCTCTCTACCTATACCTCTGCTAATGCGCTAGACTTTCCTAATGTGATCCTATAACACAGCTCCTCATGCTGTGGTGACCCCCCAACCGTAAAATTATTTTTATTGCTACTTCATAACTATAATTTTGCTACTGTTATGAATCTTAATGTAAATATCTGGTCTTAGGCAACCCCTGTGAAAGGGCTGTTTGACACCCTCAAAGGGGTCTGGACCCACAGGTTGAGAACCACTGTTCAAGACCCTCTATACACCAGCAATGTCCAACTTGAACCATTAGCCCAGATCATTTGAACTTGCTCAATTGCTGACTAGTCTCCAGACACCCAGCCTCTCTCCCCTATTCATCCAATCTACCTACATCATCTCCAGCATCATGTCCCACAGCCTTCCCCCAGACACAGCAGCAAGATGATCCTTGACCATATTGGACCAAAGGTCCTGTAGATGTTGACCATGAATTTTAAGTAATCATAAATAGGCTCACACACATCCTTATTCATCGAAATGGGGACTATCATAATCAACACACTTTCGCATGTCTCTATCCATGCTTCAGGATTCAAAAACTTTCAGAAACACTTTCTGCATCTTGCAGATTATAGAAAAAATTTCCCTGTAAAAAGTCATTGAGATGCTTGAACTCAGTTGGGGTGAAGTCAGAAGAACATGGCAGAGGACTCAAAACTTCATAGGTTACTGTATTCAACTTTGGAACCACTGGCTGTGCAGTATAAAATAAAATCATTATGGTAATAAGTGGGCCTTTGCCACTGGAGATACACTGTAGGCACTGCATTTTCAGTGTATCTCATTATTTGCTGGCACATGTCTCAGGGGAAATGGCTTCACTAAAGCTCCGAAACTGTAATGGAGCAGATGGCCACAGACAGAGAGCAAACAGTGATTATAACCTTTGCTGCCTTCCTGGTCCAACCACTGAGCTGGTCTTCACGAGCTATCATTTCACCACATCATACTCTAATCAAGAAACAGTTTGTTGCTAGGCAGTGGTGGTGCATGCCTTTAATCCCAGCACTCGGGAGGCAGAGGCGGACAGATCTCTAAGTTTGAGGCCAGCCTGGGCTACAGAGTGAGTTCCAGGAAAGGCGCAAAGCTACACAGAGAAATCCTCTTTCGAAAAACCAAAAAAAAAAAAAAAAAAAAGTTTGTTGCTGTTGAATAGAGTTGAGACAAAATGATGCTTTTTTGATTTTCAGTCAGCTCATGAGGCGCCCACCTAGTGAGCCTTTTCACCGTTCCAATTGAGTCAAATGCTAAATGACTGTTGAGCAGCCACAAGGAGCTCTAAGAGTCTGCACTTCAACAATTGCTCTGTCGTCACTGTAACTTCTGAGGTCTGATGCCTTGCCCTTTCTTGATCACCACTATACTTTGTAGTCACTGGTGGCTTCTGAGCCAAATGTGGTGTTGTTTACAATTGTCTCTACAGTGGCCTATTTTTAACTTGGGCAACAGAATCACTACAAGTTTTTTTGGTCTAAAATCATTTCCATAGTATAAGGATCAACTAAGTAGTAAGAAGTCATTAGCAAAAAAAAAAAAAAAAAGTGCATTAAAACAATGAATAAACAGAAGCACACAAAAATGCACTCTACTATCAAATGGCCAGTTTTAGCTACATGAAAACCCAAATTCTTTTTTGCTCCATCTTAATATACTATAACCCAGGCACTCCTCCCAGTAAAAAACTAAGTCCTTACAGTGGCCCAGACAAGCAGGATCCTATGTCACTTCCCTCCTTTTGTCACCCCACTTCCAACCCAAGACTTGGGCTCACTATCATAGCCCCCTAGCTGTATCTCTCTCCAAGACTTGTGACCATCTTCCCGGGTGAGCCGCTCCTTCTCTTTCTCAACACCCTCAGAACTGACCTGCTCAGCGAGCCCCCAGACAGCTGGATCCACTCCCTGTGGGAACACTGCTCTACTCTTCATCTGGACCTAGCATGCCACACAAGCCCCACTTCCCAATCCTCTGTGCTGATGAACTGCCTCTGCCTATAAAGGAGCAAGAGCACAAACAGAACTCTTGTCTGCTCTGCTTTCCAAAAGAGCCAAGCTGCCGGAGGCAAGTGGGACAAACACAGGATGATCAAGTATTTCAAAGAAGGTGCTCAGAGCAGCTCCTGGCTCCAGGACCTCTTCTGTCACAGCAACACAGTTAACAAATGAAAGAGGTTGGTCCTTCCTTGCCAGGTAACATAAACTAAAGAGACATACACATAAGAATACTCATCACTTCCAACATTCTTGCCATGAGACATATAAAGTAAGCACTCAGACATTTTAACACCTCCAGTTGTGCCTCACACTGACAATGTAAAAAAATACTGTGTGACAATGGCACAGTATTTTCTGTTCAATCACAAAGTAAGAGAGAGATACTTTGAAGAAAGGAACTTTAAGCCAAGCTAAATTGTGTCTGTGAATCCTCACAGAACTGAAGGTGAATCTAGCTACTACTGTGGTAGCTTTGTGAATCTGCCACCAGAATCCTTCAACACATACCAGGTAAGAACACACACCTTGAACAGGGGTCACCACAGTCCCCTTGAAGTGTGGATTGATGTGGATGTTCTTAGGCTGCTGAGGAGTCACTGGGGGAGGAGTCAGCATCATCCTTGGAGTCTCAATCTGGGGGGGCATGTGCACTCCCTGAGGTGGGGAGGGGTGATGTGGGTGCTGTAAGGGGAGTAGAGGCTGCAGCTGCTGCTGCTGGAAAAGACTTCTGATTGGCTGCTGCTGAGGTGGTGGCGGTGGTGGAGGAGGCTGCGGCTGTGGAGGAGGGATTAATCTTGGAGAATGAGCCTGAAAATCAGCAAAAGAGAAAAATTAACAAATCGACACTTAGAAGAAAATTAAAGTAATGTTGATGTGCTACCAAGCTTATACCATTTAACTTATTAGATGTAAGCTTATAGTCACAACTTGTACATAAATTTTGTACACAGGATAAATAAGCTGTGCCCCAGACTCACAAGATGGCACACAACCCAACCAGTCCATGGCAAGGAGAAAAAATGACAGCCCAAACCACAAAGCATGAATTCTGAAAAATGAAGTTCAGCCCAGAAACAAAACTGCCCATTAACAAGCAAAGCTACCCACAGCTTCTAAGCACAGCTAACCCTGCCTCTCCTCGAGGAGACAGGAGAAAACACTAGAAGTCTGCCATTAAGGAAGGGTCAGGGCTACCGAGAGCTGTTCTAAGAAGTTGCTTTGAGAAAGTGGTATCTGGGCCAAGCCTCCAATGCAGAAAAGGGATGCATCAATAGAAGAGAAAAACAGACCATGAATGGAGAAAACTAGGAGAAAGGACTTCCTGTTTGGTCAAGAAGGAGAGGCACAGAATATAAAAAGAGAAGGTAAGAGGACAGGGACCAAAAATAACAAAAACAAATAAATGAAAACACAACCCAAAGTGGCCCTACAACCCACTGCAGCCCTTATATCAAGTCCCCATTGGAAGGCTGGACCGGAAGCAGCAGGCCTACTCCTGACAATGCCAGAAAGTGAGTTGGATTCAGACGATCTGATTCCACAAGTTTTGCTTTTATCCACAAATCAAATCAGCTATATTGCCGATTAGTAGTCAAAACACTCATAATTCAGCTGTCTAATTAGTCTGCCCAATGACAGAGGGCCTCTGCATTCCAAGTGAAAGATACAGCATGCATGGCGAGGAACCCCCAATGGTATCAGCCTTCTCTAGGAAAGTGACTGTTCATCATGGGAGATGAAAGAGATGAACACAGGCTTGGCAGACAGGTCACAGCAAAAGGCAAATACAAGAAACATCCAGTCTGATGAAGGACAATGAGAGATTGGGAGGAACAAGAAGATTATAAAATTAAATTGTATATGGCATTGGCTGGCTGGCTTTCCTCAGAAAAGACATTTCCAAAGATTCAAGAACCAATAAATCTAAACTTCCCTATTCCCAGAATCCAGGGCACGCCCTTCTGCTCATTGCCTTTATGCACCCAAGTATGTAATATACAAAATTGGGAAATTGTCATGTGTTGTCTGTGCTCACTGAAAGAGGCTAGCACTGAAATTGGGGGGTGTCCCCTCCCCACTTCAGACTTTAGCATGTTTGTCTTGGGATGGAGTGCCCCCTAACTTTCTGACAAGGAAGGAAGAGAATAACAAACTGCCCAAGAGTATAAAAACATCATGTCATTGAGAATAGCTATCCGGTAAACCATTTCTAACGGATCTTATTATTGTTATCCCATGATACAAAAATGCCTAAAATATCTACAGTGTGAAAGGCAAACAGGAATTTTAGCCATAGGAAGCTCATCAATGAAGAAAAAGCTAAATCGGAAACACCAGGTAACTGTCTCAACTGCCTCAGTTGGTTTCTGCTGGATGCTGTGAGCCCAATTTAAATGCATGGCTGCTGGTCAGTCAGTCTACCAGCTGTTTGGTGGCAATGCAATCCACCAGGTGGTCAGTCACATCAGGATCCAAAGGCACAGCTACTCTGTCAGGATGCAGGTTACCTTTGCTTTCTGACTGGCTGTTAATGGTATCCCCAACCCTCTCTCCATTCACCTTCCCCACCTGTAAATAAATAAAGGAGTTCTGTGGCACTCACAATGATGCAAAACCAAGCTGGGGCATAACTTGTTTACCCTGATGGAGAACCATCCAATTGTGTGTAAAAGAGCTATGCACTGATGTCACCAAACTTTCATATGCTATCCTTTTCTTCTTTCCTTGGGGTACATTAAAACTAGATTCATACACAAGACCAACAATCACCCTTTCTACTTCATCATCTCAACAATGGATGCGACCTGAAACATTGTTAACAAAGGCCAAGTGTAGGCTGCAAACCTTAGAGGGGTATGTGGTATACACTAGTGACACATCTTGCATTATGTTTCTTAACACTGACTTCCAAAGGAGAAAGCCATGAAGTTTACCTCTAGCTGACAATAGGACAATAAACAGCATGACTCCTATCTCTGCTTCCAAGACATCCCGGAGAAACTTACCCAGGCTTATCCACATAATTCAGTCTCAAGTCATGAACAGCTTTATAAGATATAATAATTAAGAAAAACTGATATTGAAGGGAAACCCTATAGAAAAATACTATATGAAATAATCAACTATGGCCTAAACTTCATCCATATTAACATCAGCATATCAAAAGTAGTGCACTTGAGAGGGCTTCACTGATGTAGGTAGGAGAGAAAAGCAGGGCTCGGTTGTAGCCACACAAGCCACCAGCTGTTCAATGGAAGCTGAGGTGGATTTTTTAACTACCCAATAATGCAAGGACCCAATTCTCAGACTACAAATGAAATTGTACCACAGACCAAAGAAACTCCAGCCATTGCTTCTACTGCTTCAGTGTCATTTCAGAAAAGGTAAGTGTGAACTACATGATTCCCAAAACCGTTAGGTAGAGCAGCAATGAAACACCACACTCACCACGACAGGAGGCTGTGTAGGAAGCAGGGCGGGCCTGTGCTCCTTCATCCTTCCCCTCTCACTGTTCTCTCGTCTCTGGTCTCCCATGCCACGGCACATCAGAGAGCCTCCTCGCCTTCCTCCCCGCCGGGAACCATAGCGTCCCTGCTTATGCTGTCGTTCTCTTTCTTCAAATTCAAGCAATGCAGCTTTGGCTTCTGCCGAAAGCTCTACATAAAAAGATGTACAGGTGTTAAATACAGTCCATACTACATACATCTGTGGACAGAGAACAGTAAGAACCAAGTAGCAATCTCTTTATACAAGCATCATCTATCAACCTGAAATGCTTTCACTTTCACAGAGTGTGCCAAGTGAATCTAAAAAGCAATCAATGCTTACAGACCATTACAGTTGGAAACTCTCCTCCTCTGCCGCTAGGATCCAATTAGGCCAGTCAGAAAATGTCACTACCCTGGCATGGTAGCACATACCATTCTTTAGTCACAGCACTTGGGAGGCAGAGGCAGAAAGATCTACATGAGTTCGAGGACAGCCTGGTCTACAGAGTGAGTTCCAGGACAGCCAAGACTACACAGAGAAACCCTGTCTACAAAAACAACAACAAAAAAGAAAAGAAAATGCCACTAATTAACAGTGGCACAGAATCAAAAAGAAATACCCTAAGTGTTCTGATGTAAATCAAAGCCACTACTGACCTCCTTCTCAAGTAAAATTATTAAGGATAATTCCTAAAGAATGGAATACTCATTAATTGCATTTCACTTGAAACTTTTACATTCATTAGTATACATGCCATGCTATAAAAAGACATTGTGTGTCCATGAAGCCAAATACAGACACCTTGTCAAAAGAAAGGAAAAACCATGCAAAGAAAAGTTGGCTACTTTAAACACTGCAGGAACTTCACATAGCCACTTATCTCTCCCATGCTTTAGGGTACAATGAACATGGGCACATTATTTAAGCCCCTAAGGGGAAAGAGCCCTTTCATCCAAAGAGGTTCCCTTTCTTTTACAGTAGTGTCTAAATGTGGTAATACATCTTTTATTAGTAAACGTGTATTTTGTTAAAACATCACTAAACACTACTGGAAGGCTTTCTTCTCCACTGGGGCTAGATTTTAAGTATCACCAGAGTCTACTTTGCTACCTCAGACTAATCATCTGTAAGCTATGATTCATTTTCTTGAAAATGTTGATATGGTATCCCCTCTCCTTCAAATGAATATGGACCCACTGGAAAGAAAACGTAATAATCTCCTTTTAACCAGCACAGATTTTTATTTTAATCTTGACTACATGATTGCTTCACACACACATTTTATGCAGTGAATCAGCAATTATTTTTCTAGTGGTTCTGAGTGTCAAGATTAATTTTACTATCCTCAGTAATAAAATGGTTTCAAATGACATCTTTAATCAGCAAGAAAAAATGCTCTCCTCCAATTGAGACAAGCTGTCACAAAAGGTCACCAAAATATGACAGGATAGAAATTACATTTGTAACTTCAACTGAAATGTTAATTTCCCCATAAGTGTTTTCTGAACTATGTCCAGATCCTAAAGTAAAGAGATATATCATAAAGCAACTATAATTATACTACCTTATTCCTTCTTAACTAGTAACAACATATTTGCTTCCAAATAATTATAGAGTAGTTAGAAATAAATACATACTTATGGAATACAGTTTGGCAAAAATAAAAATGCCAAACCACAAAAGGTTAACTAACTGAACCTAAAAAAATTTTAAAACAAAAACAAGGATCACAGTATAAACAGGTGAGTATGTGACAACTGGCATTAACAACCGCCCATTGTCACTAGGTGAAAGGTTCTTCCCATAGGTCTTTGGTCTTCTATGCAAGTAGCTACTTCAACAAAACAAGATATAATAATTGCTGGGCAGTTAAGTCAAAGCAATAAAAAGTAACTTAATATGATACATGTGCCAGTGAGACTGAACAAAAATTCGGAGTGAACAAAAATCTTAGCTTCAGAAAATAAAAAGCACTTTCCCTCATAGCCCATTCTGCTTTCAAAGACCACCCAAGTCCAAGTCTGCTTCCTAGAGCAAGAGAAGCCACTGCTCTTCACTTCCAGGCTCAGCCTAGAAAAAAAAGGTCAGAGTGTCCATGTGTAAAGCACACTCTGGCCTTTTCATACACAATGAAGCAACCCTTTACGCACATGGTCTAGCAATCTTGCTCTACTGGCCTCTACCAGAGCATTACTACCTACACCAGTGACATCATCTGCACAGAATGATTTTGTTCTGAATTCACAGTTGTGTGTCATCCTTGGGAAAATAGAGAAAACCATCACTTAACTAGTTTTCTGTAAGGCTAACTTGTAGAAGAATCCTGACTGAGAAAAAGGCTAACTAATTAAGTAAGACTAACTTAAAGGAAAGCCCCAAATTATAACCCCCAATTTTAACCCAGACTGATATGAATGCCCCAATTAACAACTGAGATTTAGCTCTTTAACAGTGGAGAGGGTCATGTGTGTGAATTAGTGTTCTTCACACAAGGCAACATTATGTGTTTGAAAGCAATCAACTCTTCTAGATCTCAAAAAGAACTCATCACTTCACACACAGATGCTTTCAAAAAGAACTCATCACTTCACACACATGCTTTCAGAGTCAGGAACGGGAGGTACCACAGCAGCATTTGATTATTCTTTAAAGAACAAAGGATTCTCAACATTAATTAAGGCTATCTATCACTAAGGTAGTAAGCTGTGAGTTGTGGGCTGGAGAGATGGCTCAGGAGTTAAGAGCACTGGCTGCTCTTCAAGAGGACCTGGGTTCAATTCCCAGCACCCACATGGCCACTCATAATCACCCCTAATTCCAGTTCCAAGGGATGCTGTTCCCTTTTCTAAGCTCCACAGGCACCAACACATACACATGATACACATACATACATTCAGGCAAACACTGAAAACACACAAAATAAAATAGATAAATCTAATTTTTAAGTTTTCATTTGTAAACAAAATGACAAAAAAAAAAAACTGTCCAAAAACCACAGGGACTCTATTAGAAACACTTTTATCTCAGTATAAAAGCAAGCAAACTGCTTTATAATCCAATAAACTCCATCTTAGGACTGGGGACACAAGCTAATAGTGACACTCATGTAAACTTCCAGCTCCGAGAGGCTATGGCACCTCCCTCTTTCTCACCAAGCCTTTTATACACCCACTCTGTCTGGGAAGGTGTGGCCCTAGCAGGAAGCTCCTTCTCTCATGAAATCAGTCTTCTGATGGGTGGTGACATCCTTTACATACTGAGAATGACCCTAACTTTGAAGTTACTGGTAAACTTTGCAAACATTAAGCTTCCTTAAATTAGAACTCTAAATAGAAAGAAAAGACCTTGGGGGTGGTGTTTTATTTTTTGAGACAGGGTCTCACTGTGTTAGCCCTGGCTGTCCTGGAACTCACTCTGTAGACCAGGCTGGCCTTGAACTCAGAGATCCACCTGCCTCTGCCTCTGAAGTGCTGGAATTAAAGGCGTGAGCCACCACTGCTCAGAGAGACAAAACTTTTAACATTTTCCTTTGTCCAATTACCTAGCCAAATTACCATATTCTACAAAAATACTCTTAGTCCTTTTCAGAAGAACAGTAAATAATCAAATTGTTTACCCTTACAGTAAGTACTGTTTCTAAGGGTTCCAAGCCCTCTCCCTTCTCCAGTTGGAGGGACGCAAATCGTCTACAACTAAACAACACTCCTTTTGTCTCTGGAGACACTGATTACAGCTGTCAGGTACCTTGAAAAGAAAGCAGACTTGACGGCTTTCGGAATAAAGGAAAGTATAAATGACTCGGAAAAGAAGGGAAGGCAAAGATCCTGAAAAAGGGATGTACCAAATGAAAAGTACGAATACAGACAAGTGGAACGTTCAAAAACAACCATCCTCACACCCTCAGAGGGAGATAAAATAATTATTAACAACAATGATAATGAGCTGAACTTGAATTAGTGGATAAGGGCAGTTTAGTGTTCACCCAGAGAATTTGTATGTGCCCCTGAAATATACATGCTGCTTGCTCCTGTTTAATAGTAAAAACAACCATGTTGTGGTTTGAATGAAAATGGCCCTTATAGATTAGGGAGCAGGGGTGGGGGGTAGAGGAGAGGTGGAGAAGCCCCAAGAGAGTGAAGTCCTGAGAGAAATGTATTTTGAGATATACACAACCATTTTGAGGACTCACTGACCCAAGGGAAATTGGCAAAAATTATTACACCCATGTGGGCTAGGCTCTAGAGGAATGGCAAAGCTTTCCTTGGAGTCAGAGTCCAAGTATGAACAACTGATCTACATGGGCAAAGACTATCAGCTTCCTCCTCCCGGATGTTTATAGCCTGAGATTGCTTCCCTATACAGACTTCCTACCACGATTAGCTAGCCCCTTCCCCTGTGCTGTACATAATGAAAAACCTGAGGTTCCAAGTAGCTGGAAGTAGCTCAAGATAATGTTAGAGAACCTCACCTGATTCCAGCTCCACTGTATGTGTGTCTGTCTTTTCCTCATTCCCTCACTGTTCCTAGCCAGGGTTCTAGGTCCCAAGCTTTGAATGACAAGGTACAAAGGATCATATACTTGAATGCTTGGTCCAAGTAAGTGGAACTGATTAGGAGATACGGCCTTGTTGGAAAGGTATGCACTGGGGGCATGACTGGAGGTTTCAGATGACTCACACTGTGCCTACGTTGCTCTCTCTGACTCCTATCTGTGGATCAAGACTTGAGCTCTCAGCTATACCTGTCACCATATCTTTGCTTTACCATCATGGACTCAAAGCCTCTAGAACTAAAAGCTCAACAACACGTTTTTGTAAGTTGTTTTGGCCATGGCACTGTGTCACAGAAATAGAAAATAACTAATACAAACCACAAATAATGGTGTTTAAAAATAAATAAAGGGGCTAAGAATGTGGCTGCCAAATTGAGTACCAACACACACACACACACACACACACACACACACACACACACAAATCACCAAGGTAATGATGAGGCCTTGATCTTGATTTTTATCTTGACCCAAATAGAAAGGCAGACAGCCCCTGATGTCGTGTGAGCCTTGCCTTCCTTCTCAGAAAGTCATACCCTGGTGGTCCTGTTCTTCTAAAGCCCAAGCAGCACACTGAAAATACAATCTTCCTGGACGCTGCTGGGGTCTAAAGACTCAGAATAGATGGGAGTGGCCCCAACATTATTTTCAAAATCCCCAGGGTTGTTCTACACAAATGCCTCTACCATTAAGCAATACTCCCAGCCCGTGGGATGATTGTGACACTCCAATTAAACCCAATAATCAGTGGAAAGGGACATAAACTGTAGACAGGGGTAGGGTCACTGATGTCACCCAGCAACAGTCTGAGGAAGGTCTTCAACAGTAGACTCTTGACATCCAGTTAATGATCTCTATAAGCTAGTCACTGAACACTTAGGAACAGACAGAGAACCCAAAAGGATGAGTACAAAGATGTTACAAGTGTAAAATAAAACCAATTTGGCCCAGATTTAATACTGGCTTCCCAAGGGGCAGTCTAGTAGAGAAGAGCCAGTATCCTTACCAAGCATCCCCATGCCACCACCGCAGTATAGTGAGGAACATAGGGCATCAAGGAGAGTAGCTTTAGGCCATATACTCCCAAAGAAAACTACTAAAAAAATAAAATACTTTTAAATATTTCACTCAAACACTTGTAACCCAGAATTGGCTGTTTGGCAGAATGATGAGCACAGCACAGGTGAGCACCAGCCTCCCATATATCATACACCCTCACCAACAGTCAATCATAGTAAGATCTGGAAAGATTTACCCACAGGCCAAAAACAAAAATTACCCAAAGTTTCTGGAATGTTCCTTCTCTCTCTAGTTACATCTGAGAGCCTAATAATTGTTCCTTCTTTCCTTTCAGTTTTGAAACGCAATCTTCCAGATTCTTCGTCATCGTCATCTTCTTCATCTGATTCTTCTTTCATGTCTTTCTGGAGTTCCAGGGTTTCCATCCCTCCCTACAAGCAGACAGAGATAAACAGGAAGAGGTCAGTCTATAGTCACTTAAAATGTGAGGAGACGTCTAGATCCTAGGGAAAGGCCATAGGAACCATGAAGCCAACTCCAGTGGAGGAAAACTTCAAATATTAAAAAGAAACCCTCAAATTCCTGCCTGTAGTTAACATATGAGGACCTCCACACCGCTGGTACTCACACTTGCAAGAACACAGACATCAGCTAAACATCCCTGCTGCCTTACATCTAATCCAGAACACAACAACAAAGTTCCCACACAACTTAACTTGTATATGACTACAATGTAAGCTAACATCTGTAAATCCACACCACTGAGGTAACACTAGAGTTAACAGTGCAGAATCCATCTGGTAGCTAACGATGGTTATTTCAACCATGTAAGCTGAAGAGTTCACAGTCCCTAACCACATATTTTGACCTTCTGTCAGCTGTCCCTGTCAGTTCTGAGGTTTGTGGCTGCTTGCTACTGTTCCAGTGTTCACAACACTTCTTCATCACTATCCCTCCCCTTCCTATTTACTTCATTCTTGTTGTCTACCGATAACTTACCACATACTTAGTGCTGAGACCAGTAAAAGACAAACCATCTCTTCTGCCACTTCTTCATACCAAATAAAACCAAGTTTCATTTTAGCAGAGTCCCTTACAAAATTCCCTCTAGTGCCAACCCAAACTAACACACATTTTGTCATATAACTCTTCCTTTTGAGCTCTTATGGCCCTCTTAGGTCAGTCTCAGTAGCACACTGGCAGATGAAGACTGGCATGCACTGAGTATAGGGTTCATTTAAACACTTTCTACCAGTGTAATAAAAAAATGCAGCTTGCCTCTCCATTATCATGAACGATTCTTTATTCTTAAAAGAAACAAAGACACACTGTTAGAAAACACACAAGAAGCTAAACCCACAGACAATCACTGTGAATTTCCTTCCTAAATATCTTCAATGTGAAAAGCTAATTGTAAGTCAGAATCTATAACAAGTAGTACAAACAGAGCACAGCTCCAGGAATCCAAATGCTGAACATGGAGATTAACAGTTCACTTTCAGTCTAATGACTATGGCTTTTCAGTGCTGTGAGGTTCAGCATGCTGGAGAATTCTGCAGCCCTAGAATTTCACATTCTTGTTAGTGTAACATTACCTTTTCTGTATCATTGTATACAAACCTGAAAATAGAGTGAGTGGTATCTATGATGAGCCCTCAAGGTACCAATGCCACAATGTCCCTACTATATCTCTACATGCACAGGCAGGACTGCTCTGTGTTAACATCTACACCAGTGACTGGAAATCCTGTTCAGAAGCAGATTCTGACCCGGGAGGTCTAGAGTGGCACCTGAGAGTCCACATTCCTCACAAGCTCCCAGGGAAGCCAACTCTTGGATCCACAGACCACATTCAGTAATATGGCCACAGAGAAGCAATCATGTCCACCAAAGCACAAACTTTATTGCAGCAGTTCTAACAACCATAAAATTACAACAGATACAAAGAAGGGTTAGTAAAATTTGGTATTCATTAGAAAATCACCACCAGCAAACTAGAATCAAAAAGAACATCTTCAATCTGAAAGCAAAACTTTAGCTAGCACTTAGTGCCTTGCTCCTAGCACGACAAATAAGGCAAGAAAGTCTGCTCTGGAGCTAGTCTTCTGCTGTACAAAGCACTTGCTGGAAGTCAATAAGGCAAAGGAAATAAAAAGACTCTGATTACAGAGAAAGAAGGAAAATGCTTTCATTAACAGATAATTTTTAAAATTTTACCCTGGGTGCTGGAGAAATGACTCAGTGGTTAAAAGTACAGACTGTTCTATCAAAGGATCTAAACCGAGTTTGCAGCACTCAAATCAGGTGATTTACAACCACCAGTAATTCCAGCACTGGCAGATCATACACCTCTTCTGGTATGCACGGGCACCTGCACTCCTGTACATAACCACACACACACACACACACACACACACACACACACACACACACACTCGTGTATATATAACTAAACACACACTCTCATGTACATAACTAAACACACACACACACACACACACGAACACACACTCTTGTGTACATAACTAAACACACACACACTCTTGTATACATAACAACACACACACACACATACACACATATGTGCACAAAGCTATATAAAAATAAAACATTTAAAACTTAAAATAATAAACCTGTCCATTTTGATCTAGAGATACATGGTCATCTCTATTAAAACCCTAGCCAGATTTCTAGTAGATATCAACAAATCCATTACACAAAAGAATCTTAGAAAAGAATAAACTTGGTGGGTTTACACTACCTGGTTTCATGTTCCATTATTCCAACTGCTGTAGTGCTAACATACAGACTTTATAAAAACAAATTAATGGAGAAGAGCCTGAGGGTCAAAAAAAAGTCAGCTGACAACACAAAAACTACATTGATTTGATGGGCAGGAAAGCCTTCACAGCAAACCAGTGGAACAGCTGGAAAAACATTTTTATTTAAAAACAATGGATTACTCTCATATCTCAGATGCTATTAGACAAGGCAGCCTCTAACTCTAAACTAACACAAAGCTTCCACAAGGAAAGAGGGAGCTAATTTTATAATCATGGGGTAGTCAAAATTTTCTTAGGTCACAAAACTACTTGGTCTTCATCCAAATTATGTTCTACTTAAAAAAATTAAATTTGGGAGCTGGGAAGATGGCTCAACAGAAGACCCAGGAGGTCTGATGCCCTCTCTTCTGACCTTCAAAGGCACTGTACACATATGGCAAACCAGCATGTATGTAGGCAAAACTCCTATATAATAAAGACATTATTAAAAATTTAAATTTGTTTACACCCTGAACACGCCTGATCTCATTTAAAAAACTTAAATATAAGAAAATGAAGATATAATTCAGAGGTTCAGAAAAATTTTTCAAACCATGTATCTACCAATGGACTTGATATCTAGACTATATAAACACTTATCCAGCAACCTCTCTCAATTACAGAAACTAAGAACATACACACCAACTATACTATGTAGAGTACAAATGTATAAACAATAATCTCAATGAAGACTTCATACATTCTATAGCTTATATGAACAAGACAACTCACTTTAAAGAAAAGGCAGCTAAAACCAAACCCATGGACTGTATAAAGTCCAAAAGAATATATGAACAGTACTCAGTATCATACCTATCAAAGAAATGCAAACAAAACCTACAATGACACAGTAATCGAAGGGCTGAAGAAAAAAACTGATACCAAACAAGGGGAAACAATGAGGACTCTCAACTAGATGAAGGGTATAAAATGGTAATCACTTTTGGAAAAACATTTGGTAATTACCTTAAAATAAAAAATAAACGCATGAATGAATAAATCAGCACCATGCTATTCTAGTTCAGTAATTCTACCAATATCTAACAACAAAACAAAACTGTATATCCACAAAATGGTAAACATTCATCCATAACACAACAACAACAAACACTAGAAACAACCCAATATTTAAAAAGAGAAAAAAAAACAATAAGGTATATCAATAAACAGAATAACTATTCCTACATGTAAGTACTTGAATTAATTCAAAATTACGTTAAGCAAAAATGGGTGAACATATGATTAAGGGTGTAGTAGCTCAAACTTGTGTAACACACTTGAGATTCTACTTTCAATCTCCAACACCACAAAAACCAACAAAGGGGGAGCAGCTAGTCACGAAGATGAACTTCTAGTATAGTCTGATCAAGTAGGGTGGGAGAAACAATAGTGTTAGCCTCTATAAAGCCAGAACTTTAAGGGAAAAGCCACGTGTTTCCTGGCTTAAGCCATTTATCTGCATTGGGTGCTAATATCAGGCCTTAAAAGACTACTCCTATCTTACCTTTGTGAGTGCTGGGTGTAAAGCAGGAGCCTTTCCTCTAAGCTGAATGTGACTTTTTGTCCTTTGTGTCTCACTCTCACTCTATGAAATAAATGAAAACTTAGAGGAAAGTAAGTTAGTGTAAGAGACTCTTCACCCCAATGGTGTAGTTGTAGAAGAAGGTGTCTAACTGGGTGTTAGTACCAGGGCTTTAAAAGACTACTCCAATCTTTTTTCTGTGAGTACTGGATGTAAAACAAGAGACTTACCCTTAAGCTGAATTTGACTTTTTTGGAGGGTAATGGGATTGTTCCTCATCAACGACAGTAAAGGTAGGACAGAAGGCAGGGGAAATTATGGAAACATTGAGACAGGAAAGGAGCCCCATTCTGGAGTTTGGGAGAAATATCTCACTAGTGGCAAATCAAGGATTCTAGCATAATTACCAAGATTTACTGTGAAGGCTGCCAACAGAATCACAATATTCCTTTTATATAGAGCTATTTTCAAAAAGGAATGTTAAAAATAACATAAATCACTCTGAAGGCCCTGAGTTTGTTCTATTCCTTTCCCAGATATTTTATGAGAATCTCATAAAAAATCACTATTAATTTTAGTTTACAATGAAAACATTCTAACTCAATCAGCAATTCCTATGACTTCATCACTTGAAACCCTGAAGAACCCGCCAATGTAAGGGTATGCAGCTCCTATAAAGACATATACAGTGTGACTAATGCTGGGAGGGGTTCTTAATCTTTTCCCTGGGAGTCTTTCTTTTAACTGTGCAATCTGTCTCTCAATGATCTCCAACTCTGCTTCATACTGGCTTATCCTGAAATTCTTTCTTGTAGTAAAGTCAAGAAGCCCAGCTTCACCTGACTGGAGGTCTCTGAAAAGAAATCAGCCTGCTGTAGGTGGCTGTGCAGAGCTGTGTCTCTGGCTTGCACCCCACAGCTGCTGACAAGATGGTAAATTGGGTTATGCATGAATAAAAATTTAATCATTTGATATCTAAATGACTGATTCACTGAATATAAACTATTACACTGTGTGCAGGCTTAGACAGGGTCTTTCACCAAATCCAAAAATCACTATTTCTGCTAGACTATCTGGCTGGTGAACTCCCAGGATCCACTTGACTATAACACTCCAATACTGGGATTAACATAAAACTCTAGTCATGACTAAACAACCCCACAATCTAAAAGCAATCACTATGGCTACTTTAGACTTTTGACTGTTTGTTTTTAGATTTACAAGCAATTTAGATACAGAGCATGGAGGAGCTGAGAGCAAAACATATCACCTAGCACTTTTCACTTAATTAGACATAACTTCCTATGCTGGACAACAAAAGGAAGACATGGGTTCCTTTCCTATGGGGCCACTACGGTGACTTAATGGAATGTTTACACTGCCAACACACACAAGCACTAGGGCTTTGAATTCATCTTAGAGTTTCCCTTTAAATAAACTCGTTAAAGTAGAAGTATTGAATCAAAAAATAACATGCTTTAGGGTTGTTGAGCCTGTAAAGGACAGTGAGGGTGTTGAAAGCTAGCAAAGTGGTCTGACACAGACTCATGGAAGATGTGAGAAGACGAGAACTTGGTGGAAGTGGGCTGAGTCATGAGTCACCTCCCCAGTAGCAGTAATTCCCTGAGGCCCCACTCACCCAGGGCCCTGTGATCATGTCCAGAGGGATCTATGCTTAAAGATGGATCCTCACCTGTGGGACCTCTGTTCTAATCTAAACAGACCTGCCCTGAAGCAGACCCTTTCTTTCAACAAGGTCACTGGGTACACAAGCACACCTGGACAGAAATTCTACAACAAAGAACAAGTAGTTATGTGCTCACAAAATATGCAGAACCCAGAGAAGTGGTTTTGTAACATTAGAGAAGTGGTTTTGTAACATTTCTAGTACATACTCCCCAACAAAGTAAGACTACATCTTCCAATGAGCTCAGGTTTTGCCAGTATTAAAATAGGTTTAATCTTTACCTTATTGAATATATTTTCATGTGCTATTTATAGCTCATCTGTTTATCCCATGAGGACATGTGACATATGCACCAAATTTTTCCTTTCCAATCTTTGACCACCCAAAGACTTCCTTGGTAGCCTTCCAGCCACTCTACTCCCTGCTTTCTTGATTTCTATCTCAAGCATCCTTGCAGGCTCGAGAAAGTTGGGTGAGCAGTGTCCTGGGCAGAATGATACTGAAAGCTATGGGCAACCAGGCTGCCTGTCCTGGGTCTCCTTCAACTTTGTCATGATCCCTGGATTAGACACCTTCTTCTACAACTTCACAATCAGGGTGAATATGTCTCTTATACTAATTTTTTTTTTCCGCTAAGTTTTCATTTATTTTTCAGAGTGAGAGTGAGACACAAAGTACAAAAGAAAAAGTCCAAATTCAGCTTAAGGGAAAAGCTCCTGTTTTACACCCAGAACTAACAGAGAAAAGAAAATGTAGTCTAGTTCTAAAGTCCTGATATTAACACCCAATGTAATAAAATGGCTTAAGCCAGGAAATACTGGCTTTTGTGTAACTCTTCTCTGGCAGGCAGCAAAGAACATTAAGGAAACTATTGGAGGAAAAAAATGTTAAGTTTTAAGAAAGTTCCCAGGGCTAAGAAGATTTTATTGCCTATTATAGACCTAGCCACAGTGCCTACAAGTTCTCAGTGAGAGAATTAGCAGAGGCCCACTGTTCTTTCAAGAGGACTTCAGAGGTCATTTCTTCCATATAACCTTAGACATGGACCCTCCCCAACATGGGAGCTGTCACTTTCTGCTGTGTGTAACGGTAGTTTTTAGCAACTTCCTCCTATGTTAGACTGCAAGTCCCTTGGAGGCCGAAACCAAGGTCATCACTGTTTCTCCAACACCTAAGACAGAACCTAAAACAGAAAACCTTGCAATGTTTCTTGAATAATGGTCCAAATTAGCTAATATTAACTAATTAAGATAATTACAGCACTGATTTCAAGGCACTGAAATCACACTTTTTTGAAAGTCAGCTCTAAAAATCACTTTCAACACTACCACTCGGGGGCCAGCTGCTATACTCAGCAGGCGAAGCACTTATACAAGCCTGGTGAATTGAGTTTGACCATTCAGAACCCACAAAACGGTAGGAGAGAAGAGACTCTCAGGCTGTCCTCACTGACAATGAGTGTGGCATACAGAGACACTCGTAGACAAATACACACACACACACACACACACACACACACACACACACACACCATAAACATGCAGTAATAAAAAGAAACATTTTAAAAAGACAAGCATTACTGATCCAGGACACATATAGGCACCAGGCACCACATCTCACTTCTCTAGGCACAGGCTTGGGTTTCTACCATAATGCCCAGTTCACAGACTCATCAACTTTTCACTAATACTTTAAAAAATCAAAAAGTGCTCATTTTAAATCTGGAAGGAAAGAAACTCAGGAAACTGTAGAAGTTGAACAAGTACCTCGTGGGTCTCAGAAGCAACCTGGGAATCAGTAATCTCATCTAAGTCATCTTCAGCCTCACAGTCTTCCCGCACTTGCAGCCCTTGTTGCCCACCATAAGCCTGCAAGTATTCTTCATCCTAACGGCCATTAAAGAGAAGAAACATTTTTCTCACAAAGCTTTTGGGTGTTTTCAACCACTTTTCATGTACGATTCATGCGGAGTTATTGTAACACATTCTACTGTGGTGATGCCCTGACTGAGCACACAGCATAGGAGCTTCCTCTGCATGGTCATACAAACCAAGCGTACATGGTGGTCCAGAAATGAGGAGAGTGACACTGGCTCAGCTGCAGAACCAAGCCCCTGGTGAGCAGCCTTTACATCCACACCCAAAGGAAAAAGGCCTTTCAAAAGCAAGGCTTGTGTCCTCACTGAGGAGCTTGGAAGCAGCAGAAGCTGGACTTTCATGCCCCACAACATCCTAAGGCCAACAGACAACAGGAGTAGACAATTTAATACAGCAAAGTGCTTTTCAGACACTACACTACAGTGGATTCTTCATCAGGCCTTTCTTTCTCTTGGGTGAAAGGATGATTCCAAGTTTTTCGTAAATGGAAAGGGCTTATCAGTAGGCAAGCTTGTCTCTTCTGGGCTTAGACAAGGTAGCAGGCAAGGCGACTGGAGATCACCACACTGGCAAAGAAAGCAGACTGCTGCTGGCATTACTAACAAGTAATGAGGTAGGGAGAGCTGACCCACCTGTTTCTCAAGATGATCCTAACACTGCATTCCACTTTGCACAAAAATTATTAGCATCCCATCAAAAAGAAGTAGAGATGCTAATTAACATAGCCAATGGAATAACAATAACACAATGGAATAGTCTGCTACTCTCTACACAAATGGTAAATTTGAACTCAATTTTACAAAACAATGCTTTACAAAAAAATCTCATTTGGTGCTAACTTCACAGTGAATACACTCTAATGTCATCAACAAACACTATTCTGTTGGCTACTGAGCAATACAGTTCTTGGGGCTACCAGAGTAGATTATAAAATGAAATCATGCTCATCAACAATGATGCTTGCAAAATTCACTTAACACAATAGAACAGACCTCCAGAGCTCTGCTGACCAGTCTCTCAACACTTCCTCGGATCTCCCTTTCTTCACAGGTAACAGAAACCCTTCTGGTTACAAACTCTGTGGTCTTAAAGATTCTATGGCCAGTTATGCACCAAATATATGTTTTTATAGGTGGGCTCTCAAAAGAAAGCCCATGCTTGTGGGTTCACATTTCAGAGTTAAGTTTGGCTTTCGAGAGCAGGTTAACAAATTCTGACTAGGACAAGGAACCAGTTTAAATCACTCAATAAACTACAAACCCCCAGGGTACATGGGACACCATCTATTCAAGTGTTTACTAGTATAATGACAATATGCACATCAGGAACAGTAGTCTGAGACAAGGCCTGGCTGCTGGACAAGAGCAAAGCATTCCACAGCTTAATACTGATCTTTTCCCACCCAGGGCAGTCACTTCAGACAGTACCACTGTGGTATCCATGAAGAAAGAAAATGATAGCTGTGGCTCTAACACCAAATAGTAAGGTAGGCAGCCACTGTTCACAGAACATTCAGCTGTGAAATACTAGCACACTCAGAATTTCTAAATAAAATTTCAAAGTTTTTGAGTTTTTTTAATTCTGAAAAATTTTCATTTTAATGTAAAAGAGTTCTATAAACGTTTCAATTGAAATATTTTATTCTTTTCAGTACCTTAATCTTGGACCACAGGATGCTGAATTATTTAAATGGATTTTGTATTACTCCTGGGACTTTATGCGGCCCTAAGTTGGACAACAAAATATTTAAGAGGAAAATTTCTCACTGATTATAAATTCTCTCTTCACAAGACCACAAGAACTAAGTAAGTGGCTGAGGAAACTCACCCTGCACACACTTTCCATGCTTTTTCTGGTTCAACAATATTAATATGGCTATCCGTTAGTAAAGATGTGCTGACTATTTAAAGAGTAAAGGATCCAAGAAGTAAACAGCTAATGTTACAAATGAATACTAACAGTCAAATACTACAAGAAAATAGGCACATTTTCAAAGACCTTGGGTTAAATCAACAAACTTTTTAAATTACAGTGTCTCACATAAGCAAGCACACCCTGATCAGAAGACACTGCCCATCTACTAAAGGGCTGATTACTAAAATACATCATTATAGGACCACAGACAGCAGGCTCCATAATGCTGTTTCATGACTCTACTGACCACAAACTACACATACTTTCTGAAGAATAAGCCTCTACCTCCTGAGACATCAAAGCACAGTCATGACTGAACCAAATATTTTCAGGCTCTTTATCACCAACCCCGTGTGAAGCAGCCTGCTTCACACATAAGTGACCAAGATTTATCAACTGTTGGCTGCTGTCCTCAAATGCAGGCACACACTAACGATGACACCACAAGTGAGACTGCTATTCCTACCAACAAGGTTCTACAAGTCCTGATGCTACACACCTCCAGCCCATCTCAGCAGCCCCACCTCCACTCTGCTTTCATGAGACCCCAATGAAATGAAACCCTTAGGGATTACACAATGCAGCAATAACATCTTTCCAGCATAAACGTCATTAGGTGCTTTTTATAAAACACAAACCTCTTCTGATAATGTACCATTATGACAGATGACCAATCTTACACCAATACCTCTTTTTTTCCTGGTGTTTAATGAAAATAAACACTACCTACCAAAGCCATCTTTCTGAAATAAAGACCACCACCATCTTAGCTTGCTGATTATAGATAACAAATTATGTGTGACATTTTCTAAACTAACCTCAACCTCTTTATTCAGGTTTAGACAGTTCTCAGTAAGAAAGGGATGAATGAAAACAGGACATCAATCACTGTGGAATATTAGCACCTTAAAGATGTCTTTAGCAGGTCAATAATCTTTTCACCTTAGAAGGACTTTATCAGATCTTGTCTAAAGCCTGGATAAAAGCTCTGCATTAAGTACTTCTAACATTGACAGTGTGCCTCCACCACACAAAGCTGTTTTCTTCCTTAGGGTGCAATCCTCAAGGTCACGATTCTTTGCAGCCTTCCAGAATGACAAAGGAGCATTAACTCTGGCCAAACAAGCTGTCAACACAAACTTTGTCATAGCTCTGATAAAGAAACTGGCAGACAGTGATAATAAGGTCTAATTTCTCTCCTTCCCATGGGAGGTAAACAGACTTCAAATCAGTCTAGAAACCTATGCGCAGGAAGCCATGTTATCTTTGGCCATTCAAAAGAGAAAAGACTCACTGTAAATTCATCTAAAGGTTCATTGATTTCGATGTCTAGCACTTCATCATTGTACAGCTGCTCCTCCTCTGGCTCATCCCCATATTCTATTTGGTCTTCTGTCAACTCTGCATCATGGCCTTCATACTGTCCTTCCTCTGGGTACTCTTGAGTATACAGTTCTTGTTCCTCGGGTTTGTGGTAGGCTAGCTCATCTTCTCCTTGTTCATATTCAGATTCCTGTTCCCCAGATTGGTCGTTGGTATTGTCAGACAGCTCAAATGATGTAACTACGCCAGAAGTGGTATTCAGACTGATGGTGACACCCTGAGAACTAGAAGAAAAAACAAATAAAAGATATATTGAGAGGAAGCACAAAGCTGCATCATTACATAATTGAGTTGTAACCACTGGTTACAAGTCATTCCACTGGGTGAGTACACTCTTAATAATCCATGAAAATATAGCTGCAATAGATTCCAAATGGCCCAAGGCCACTGACCCACAATGCAGACAGTATCTCCACTTGTCAGCTCTGTTATCTGACCAAAAGAATGAAGTCAGCCCAACGAAGTAGCTGTCTAGCTGTCAAACATCCAAGACTTGAACCTAAACACTTTGAATCTTCATCTACTATTTTGTTTGTTTTGTTTTCTATTTTTTGAGACAGGGTTTCCTTGTGTAGCCCTGGCTATCCAGGAACTCACTCTGTAGATTAGGTTGGCCTCAAACTCAGAGATCTGCCTGCCTCTGCCATTGGAGTGCTGGTATTAAAGGCGAGTGCCACCATGTCCAGCACCTACTTTTATACAATGAAACAGACGGAACCTGGATAGTATGACTGTTTACAGAAAGCAAGAGTACTACTCAATCAGAAAATCATAGTTAGGATTGTTTTTAAGACTTATTTAAATTTTGATTGCCTGCATGTAGTATGTGCATTACATGTAGCCTGGTGCCCACAGGCCAGAAGAGAAGATAGGATCCCCTGGAACTGGAATTACAGATGATTGTAGGTAGCCTGATATAGGTGCTGGAAAATAAATAAATCAAGAGTCCTCTGCAGGATCAGTAAGTGCTCTTAACTGCTGAGCCATTTCTCTAGCCCCCACAATTAGAATGTTGAGAACAATTTGGTTTCTTTTTTAAAATGTATGATGCAAATTGTAAGCTCTTCTCTAAGAAAATCAAAACAAAAATCTGTGTCAAAGTACATCTCAATGTTCAAATAAATGTATGCTAATCACAAATACATTAACAAAAAATTATTGATACACCACCAGCTGTGGTGGCTCATGTCTATAATCCCAGCACTCAGAATGCTGAGGAAAGAGGATTGGCATGAGTTACAGAACAGTCTACACTACAATACAATCAATCTCAAAAACTAAACCAAACAAACTGGCAATTTCTTCATTAGACAGCAAAAGGCCTTAACGTCACAAAACCCCTATTATACCTATTATATCACTAAGTCCTAAAGGGCAAACATTTCAAGGTAAGAGTTCAAATACAGGGGCTGGAGATATGGCTCAGCTGTTAAGAACACTGGCTTGTTCTTCCAGAGGACCCAGGTTCTATTCCCAGCACCCTCATGTCGCTCACAACCATCTGTACCTCCAGTTTCAGAGGATCTGATGGCCTCTTCTGACCTCAGAGGACACACAAGTGGCACACAGACATGCATTCAGGCAAAATATTATATATAATTTTTTTTAATTAAAAAAAGTTTAAATCAAAGACCACAGAGTAAATCTGTGCTCACAGCAAGCAGCCTATACAGCAAAACTGAGCACACCATAGACTTCAATCAAGCAGCCTAAACAGCAAAACTGAGTACACCATAGACTTCAAGCATCTGGCCAAACTCCAAAGATATATTTCAAGGCCAACTTCATTCAAAAGATCAAAATACAATTCATTATATCAAAGAAGAGAATCTCACTGGTAAAATAATTTAAAACTCTACTTTTAGCCACAAACTATGTGGGAAAACAAGTTTCAAATCTATGGCCTTTATATGATGTATTTGCAATCATATTTGTAACCCAGAGATATGTGGGTATTTTCCCCATGGTTCTTCCTAAAACTGGAAATTTTTCTGAGTATCTCCAAAGTACCTCTCCAGAGTGGCATCAAAAAAAACTGTCTGAAAGGAAAACAAGGAGAGCAACATCAAACTGCAGTCACCTGCATCATGTCAGAGACCACTAACTCCAAGCAGACAAAACACTAAGCCTTCACAAACTGCTCTGAATAACATAAGTTTAAGCCACTGATCTATTTATAGGAACACTCTATATGGCTTCCATATCAGAATATACCAATATCTCACTCAGAGTGTAATGTATGTTAGAAATCCAATACCACATTATTCAATTACTCATTATAATTACAAAGTATATAAACAGTTCCCATTTGATTTAAATATGGTCTAGTTTTTTTGTTTTTGTTTTTGTTTTTCAAGACAGGGTTTCTCTGTGTAGCTTTTGTGCCTTTCCTGGAACTCGCTTTGTAGACCAGGCTGGCCTCAAACTCACAGAGATCCCCCTAGCTCTGCCTCCCCAGTGCTGGGATTAAAGGCGTGTGCCACCACTGCCCGGCTATGGCCTAGTTTTAATGATTTAATATTGAGTACCTGAAATTTTCTTCATCTTCATTATCACTCTGTAGAAGATCATCATTCAGTTCTTCATCTGACAAATCCGACTGATTCTAATTAAAACAAGAAATCTAATTAATGTGTGTCACTCCCATAAAAAGACTTGTTACCAAGCACAAGGTTACCCTGAGAGGTTTGTTTCTAACCCTCTTGCTGCTTGACCTCTTGTCATTCAGGTTTGTTCAGTCTGGCATTGCCACAGAGAATCCAGTGAGCCCATAGACAGCCTACTGGCTAACCCCTGAGAAATTTTTAAATGCCACAGACAAGTATCAAGCAACAAGTATAATGGTCAAATTTATTCTAATTCTAGGATAAAAGAACTAGGTAAAACATCCTTGGAAGGGTATCTGCTAAACAATTTCTCCACCAAAATACTCAAAGAAGAATGGCCTTAAAAGGACTAACAGTGACAGAAACAAAAATCTGAAGTTTTTAAAAAAAAATGCAAGAGATACAAATCCAGTACAAGCTGTTTGTAAGGTGACTAGATCGGAAATTAGACCAATCAGGGAAATACCTTTGGCTTCCCCATATAGATGACAGGAAACCACAAATAACAGCTCAGCTCTTTCAGTGTTGTCACCACCTAACTAGTACACAAAGGCAGCAGAGTGATTTGCTAGAGTTCTAAATTCTAGATTTGGCTAAACATGTCTCAATAGTACAGACTGAGGAGTGGTTCAATGTTCCTCTTCTACTAAAGGCATTCTGAAGTCTAAATGGGGCACACCCTTCCAAAGGGTAGTCAATCTCTCAATCTCTCTCTTTCAATCTCTCTCTCAATCTCTATCTCTCCCCCCACCCCTCAGAAAGAAAAACTGACTTGATTTTCTACTCCTTAAATGAACAATCAGTCTGACATCTACAGCTTGCAAAATAGGTTAAACTACCTTAAACTTCACTGTGTATTTTTTATTAAGGTACTTCTGATAGTCAAAAATAATTCTAGGAAAATTTATTAGCTCATGAGACCTCATCTATCTCTGAAATCAAATAAGCTACCTAAAGCCATGCTTCCAACACAGCAGGATGGATCTGTATGAGAACAAAGCACAGCAATTCACAGACCAAAAATAAATTTGCTGTTAGTGATACAACCAGCTATCCAAAAGGGCCAGTTCTGACAGTGAAGCAGATACTACCCAGTAGCCATGCCTGCTATGGACAAGCCTAAGCTTACTCTCCAATTCAGCAAATAAAACCTCAGGAAATGCTTAAAAATTGGTAATTCAATGAACTTCAAAGAGGGCTACTTCACCGTGTGTGAAACATGTGTGTGCATGCCTTGTGTATACTGTATGTTTAAACTTCAGGGGCCACTTCTGTACACGCGTGTGTGCACGTGCACGAAGGAGCACATGTATTTAAACTTCAAGGGGATTCTGTGGGTATGCATGCACCTGTGTGTTTAAACTCCCAACTACCGGTTCTAAAATCATCCCAGTAGTAATTTATCAAACAAACAAACAACAAAAAAAATATGTTGGGGTAGGTCCCAGTGGTCGTCAAATCTCAGTTCTCAGGATTGAGTCTTTCTGTCAATTGTGAGCCTACTACGCAAAAGCAGTGGAGGCAGTGAACCAACACCCACTCCTCTGGAAAAGCTTTACTCCTCAAAGGGAAACTAGACTAAAGCAGAGAAGCCAGAGATGGTTTTCAGCACATCCCACTGAACTGGCGTGAACCATTTTTCAGGTAAGCAGAAAGGTTGGGAGAACTCTACTCAAACAAAGCTTGTAGGTTCCAAGCAAGGTATAAAGAGTGGCAGTGAGTGCTTGTGATATCCTTTGCCTCATCTTCCCAAGAAGACAGAAAAAAGTTCCCTCCAAAACGCCTAAGAATAAGAACTTTCCACAGGGTACCAGGGGTTTAAAGATGGAGACAAAAAGGTCCTCTAACATTTTTCAGACATTGGTACTTAAGACAGAGACTCCTTGGTGTATCAGAATATCTGTCCAGACATGAGGTGATGCCAGAGTAAAACAAATGAAAGGACTTACAAACTAGCGACCTAGCTCCACCTCAGCCATTCTCTTCCTCAGTTTGCAGCCTTGCCTTTTCAACACAATTAAAACCCAGCCCTAGATGGTCTGCACTGTCATGAGGGCCTACATGCCACTACAAAAGCATACATACCTCTTTCCACCTGTTCCAGTGGAAAGTAGAGTGCTGGCACCCAGTGCAGTCACAGACAAGAGCAATAAACTTGCTAAACCTTACTAGAAATCAAATAATTATGAATTAAACCACCAGCAATCATTAAGATCAGTCACACTGACAAAGATTCTGTTATTAGGAACAAAAGCTAATCAAACATTTCTAGGCAGCAATTTGGAAATATAAAAAAAAATATTGAAATGCCCACACCCTGAGACCAGAACTACCCCCTGACTGACTTCCAAAGAAGATCCCTAAAAGCACATTAAGATTTATGCATTAAAACAGCATATCTGAAGTACCCTTCAAAATAACTCAGGAAGGAGTGAGAGAGTAATGTTGAAGCAAGACCACCTCTAACTAAACACTGATGACACTGGAAAAAGCCCCATCAGAATGATATACCATTCTCTCTTCTTCCTTATACACTCGAGTTTCCACTGAAGAGGTTAACATGAGCAGACAACCTGGAGTAATCACAGAAACCAGCAAAGTAATAGGGTCAGGTGAGGCGAGAGTGCTAGAGAGAGGGATAGTACAGCACAGGTGCTATGAAGGGGAAAATGGAAATGGGGAGACGACTTTATCGAGGAAGGGGAAAAAGAGGATGATACTAAAGAGGAAGGAAAGAGAGAGATGACTGAAAAAGCCAAAGAGAAACACACTATTTTATGCTTACCTAAAAACACACATATATTGCTGGGAGTGGTGGGAGCAGAGACAGGCTCTTTGAGTTAGAAGCCAGCCTGATCTACAGAGTGAGTTCCAAGACAGTCAGGGCTATATAGAGAGACTCTGTCTCAAAAAACAATAAAAGCAAAAAACCATACATATATAGCAAGTATGCATATGCATATATACATAATTGGAATGAAATTACTCCACTAGGGGTGATAATGCTCCTCCAAGAACCATGAACTATCTAACAGTGTGTCAATCATGGGAAACCTCCCTTCGATCTGTTGGGCAGGGGAATCCAAAGAGACTTAAAGGTAAGACCCTATTGCTGAAAACATCATATACTTCCAAAAGAAAACTTGAAAGAATCAAGTTAGGACTGACCAGGAAGCCCCCTCTCTGAGGAATAGCTCTCCTGGTATCTATAGGTGCCATATAAACTGTCAATGGAGAAAAGTAATTAAAAATTCTACCCAGCTGTAAAACCTACAAATTACAACAATGACCAGCATGGCAAAATATACCCAAGGGTACAATAGTGGCACTTATACCTCAAGGGTAACCAATAACTACCTAATTAGACTTAAGGCCTACTCAATAGGAGGAAACTCAAGCATGAAAACTGTACAACTAGACAACTGATCTGTACCTGGTGAGGTCATGGACCCTAGAGGAGGACCTACCACTTCCACTGTCCTAAACCAGTGTGTCTTAGTTAGGGCTTCTATTGATGTGATGAAAACACCATGACCAAAAAGCAAGTTTGCTGTGGGATGGTCTGTATGGCAAATGTGTTGCTGATTGGTCAATAAATAAAACACTGATTGGCCATTGGATAGGCAGGAAGTATAGGCGGGACAAGGAGGAGAATAAAGCTGGGAAGTGGAAGGCTGAGTCAGAGAAACACTGCCAGCCGCCACGATGACAAACAGCATGTGAAGATGCCGGCAAGCCACGAGCCATGTGGCAAGGTATAGATTAATGGAAATGGATTAATTTAAGCTGTAAGAACAGTTAGCAAGAAGCCTGCCACGGCCATACAGTTTGTAATCAATATAAGTCTCTGTGTTTACTTGGTCGGGTCTGAGTGGCTGTGGGACTGGCAGGTGAGAGAGTTTGTCCTGACTGTGGGCCAGGCAGGAAAACTTTAGCAACACAAGTTGGAGAGGAAAGGGTTTAATTTGGTTTACACTTTCACATCATAGTCCATCATCAAAGGGAATCACAGGAACTCACACAGGGCAGGAACCTGGAGGCAGTAGCAGATGCAGAGGCCATGGAGGCGAGTTGCTTACTGGTTTGCTCCCCATGGCTTGCTAGTCTGCTTTCTTATAGAACCCAGGACCACCAGCCCAGGGATACACCCACAATGGGCTGGGCCATCCCCCATCAATCACTAATTAAGAAAATGTCTTACAACTGGATCTTATGGAGGCATAGTCTCAACTGAGTTTCCCTCCTTTCAGATAACTAGCTTGTGTCAAGTTGACACAAGACCAGCCAGCACACAGTGGAATTCCCAACTTCATTCTAAAAACCTATCCTGATATTCACAAGTAATGTAGCTCTGACCCCTCATTAAGAATGATTCTTTTAGCAGCTGACAAAGACCAATACAAAAACCTACAACTGGTCAAAATTCAGAAAACAACTGACGGTGGATTACTCATCCCCAAATGATCCCCCTAGTCTGAAGGCTCAGGGAACATCTGGGAAGAAAGTAAAAAGACTGTAAGAGCCAGAGGACCAGGACTTTACCAATCAGACAGTGTCTTCTATACATGTCAGGGAGATGCACCCATGAACAATATGGTCATCTAAATAAGACCTGCACAATGATAACCAGCTGACATTCCAACGTGGATGGGGGAACTCTCACAAGGCCCCATCCTAGAAAAACAAAGAAGTGCAATGGCTGCTAGAGAAAGAATCACAGGACAAGCTCTCCTGACAGGTTATCTAATCCCAAGTGGTCAGCTTTAAACACATATACATATAAGCTATATGGACTCAGCAGATCGTACATATGTGTGTTTGTATTTATCAATAATAACTAAAGAAAGGATCTCAGTGAGGGAGATACCAGAGAAGCTGGAAGGGGGAAAGGGTGAAGTGGGAATACTGTATATATAGTACTCATCTATAAAATCTCAAAAAAATTTAAAAGAACATTTGTTGGTGCTTTTAAAGTTGCTATGATTTAGACACTGCTTAACTATTGACCAGGATTCATGTGTTAAAATGGGGAAGATTGCATCAGCCCAAAACCAGGGGGGGACACAGGCTAATGATCAATAGAAGCAGGAAGAACCTTAAGTCACATTCAATTACTAGAGGAAATGTTGATGAGGCCTAAGATTTAACAGATAGCCAGAGAGCAGGATGGGGATAGACCCACGGCCCAAGTCTACTATACTTTCTGAAATAGTCTTAACTCCAAGTGTAATGAGCTCCAGTATAGTTCTTGACAATGCGTGCCCTAATAATTTTAAGACTTGAAAATGAAGTATAAAGAATTATGTTGAGGACCTCGGGAGAAAGCTTTTTTTTTCTTTATTAAGAAATTTTCTACTCACTCCACATGCTATCCACAGACACCCCCCTCCACCCTCCTCTCACCCCTCAGCCCTCTTTCCCAAGCCACCCCACATCCCCACATCCCCCAAATCAAGGTCTCCCATGGGGAGTCAGCAAAGTCCAGCACACTGAGCCTAGGCAGGTCCAAGCCCCTTCCCACTGCACCAAGGCTGTGCAAGGTGTCACACCATAGGCACCGGATTCCAGAAGCCTATCCATAGAGCAGGGACAGATCCCGATCCCCCTGCCTGGGTGCCCTCGGGAGAAAGCTTAATGAAGTGCTTTCCACACAAGCATAAAGACCTGAGTTTAATTCCCAGCACCATATGAAGGTCGGGTGTAGTAGCAGCAGCATGAACCTAGAATTCTACCACTAGAGAGGTCAAGACAGAAGATCCCCCTGGGCTCCCTGACTAGCCAGCCAGTCTAGCCAAAATGGTAAGCTCCAGGTTCATTGAGGAAACCTGTCTCAAAAACAAGGTGGCAAACAATTGAACAAGATAAATAGCAGCAACCCTTGGCCTCCACATGCACACATGAACATACAGAAGTACATACATGTCTATGCACAATCTCTTTCTTACAAACACTTGTATACACTCACAAATACCATTTTAAAATAATTATGTTAATACTAAGTGAAAACAGAAAATGTTTCTAAACTATTTAGTGAACCAAACACTGTTAATTCACTTTAGAGGATCTGGGGAGGTGCCTTGGTGAATAAAGCACTTGCTAATCAAGTGTAAGGGCTATAGTTCAGATTCCCAGCACACAAGCAAAACTGGGTGGGCACAATGGCCAACTGTAATCCAAGGGCTTGAAGATGGGGCAAGCTGACTAGCTAGACTAGCTGAATCAGCTAGCTTCAGGTTCAGCAAGAGACCTTGCTTCAATAACTAAGGAGAAGAGTGACTGCAAGAGATGCAGAATGTCAACATCTGATCTCCACACAGACATTCACATATAAGCATACCCAAACATGCAAGCACTCACACAAAAAAAAAGGAAAATAAAATTCTCACTTTCATCTCTTGCTTCATATTTCTACTTTCCACATGATTTATGAAACAGATTAGATGTATATTTTAGGCAGATACACACATATTAAAGATAATGCTTCAAAGTATTTAACCAAAAAGGTCCAGAAAAGTTTCTATGAGAATGTCTAGCCGTATTTATATGCAGATCTATTATATAGTATATAGTATATATTGGCAAATTTACGTTTAAGTTATCAGTGAATATTCCCGGGAAGTGCATTCTAGAATTACAATGTAAAGTATCAAAACTATAAATGTTACATTCCTTTAAGCACATGTTTTATGCAACTGTTATCCCAATTCTGATACCTGCTAGAGTGCACTAGACACAGTAGGAACTAAAATGCTTGCTCATCACAATAATTTCAACAGCATCTACTAATGAGCAGCCATTCTGCTGAGCTGGAGGAGTAACTACACGACCAAACACATGCTGAGCATCTGGGAGGCGCTAGAGCAACGTAACAATCATTCCATTTACAAACTTCTGGTCTATGCTCAGCTTTCTATCACTTCATCCTATGTGCAAGTGTTTTAGGTACAATAATTCTTCTAAGTGACCTTATTTCTTACCTTTTTGCCAGACAGTAAATCTTCTCCAAGCAAGTCATCTTCCAGTTCACTGGGGAAAGAGAAATGCAAAGTGTCACTCCTATTAGAATAGAAAATGAGAAGTCACTCAGAAATCCAGGAGGGGTTCCAGGGTGTGGGAACTTTCAGGTAGCTATACTACATTTTCCTTCCTCTACATGAAGAATAAAGATATTTTCAAGGTCACGGGGACAAGTCTTTGTCTGCCAAATTCAGGCTCAATACAGAAGGTAAATTATTAGATTTAAGCTGAAGCTTAGCAACACAGTAGAGTACTTTAATCCCTTTGCATCTGATTAAAAATCAGCAAAATATAAATATATACAAAGGAACACCTAAGCTTTCTCCTATCTTTAAAAACTTAGGATGTAAATGAAAAGTTGCTCAATATCATTAATCAGAAGAAAAAAACCCATAAGAAATCATTTGATACTCATTAAACTAGCAGAAACCAAAAGAATTTAAAATAATTGAGTGAAGCAGTAGCTCAGCAGTTAAGAGCACTTCCTGCTTTTGCAGAGTTCAGTTCCCTGCACCCATGTCAGGCAACTCACAATCACCTTCAATTCCAGCTCTAGGAGATCAAATACTCCCTTCTGGCCTCCAAGGGCACTACACTCACATGGCGCGCGCGGCACACACACACACACACACACACACACACACACACACAAGAACATAAATTTTTTAAAAATCTTTTACAGAACGAAATTTAAAATTATGCTATAAAATTATATGCAGTAACTAAGGAATGTGGTGTGGAAATCACAGTGGTCACCTGCCAGGTCTCCCAGCATGCTTTTGTGCTGAAGTGACTAGGAGCAGGTTTTCTCCAGGCTCCAGAGGGAATCTATAACACATCAAGCTTGAAATACCTTCTACTGCATTTTTTAAATCTTTTTTATTATTCAGGGTTATGTAAGGCCATTTCCATTCATGTATATAAGGTATTCCCTCTTCTCCCCATTCCCATTTTGTTCCCTTTGTTCCCAAAGCAGTTCTGTTTCTCCATTCTTAGCCCCAGTACATATTGTAATAGTATGTAACATTTTGGCCCCCAAGGCAGAGAAAACACATCAAAACATTATTTTTGATTAAGTGAAAATGGCTACCACTAGATTGGGCTCTGGTTAACAAAGTCTATAGGTTTTGAGATTAACACCAGCACTAATTATTTTAGCACGTTGCTGAACATAATACTAGGAGCTCTAAGAATGCAGAGATGGAGTTTTAAGAGAAAAGCACACTCCCATAAAAGGCCTTTCAGAACTAGAAACCACCTGGCAAATCATTCCATTCACATGGTAGGCTCTGGTTACTGTAAGTTACCCTGTAGTTAATCTCATACCCTCATTCACAAATAGAAATATGGACAAGACCTTAAATAACCTGCCAAATGTCACACAAAAGAAAGAGATGCAAGGCAAGGACTTTAAAAACCACCTTTCTGGCAGTGGTGGCATACAGTTTTAATCCCAGCACTCGGGAAGCAGAGGCAGGCAGATCTCTGTGAGTTCAAGACCAGCCTGGTCTACAAAGAGAGTTCCAGGGCAGCCAGAACTAAACACTGTCTCAAAAACAAAGAAACAAACAAAAACCCACCTTTCTGACTTCTTCACAGTTTCTTCCAATATTTTAAAGCCAGTAACATCTGGCATTTGATTTTCTATGTTACATTCCTCCTACGAAGGCAGGAAAATAGGCTGCTAGCCAATGCCCTATTTAAGAACCTGATTCTACATGACCAAAAATATGCTAGTACCTCTTTGAAAATAAGCATACCTCCATGCCACAGCCTTAAGTAAAGGAAAATGGAAGGTGATACCACGTTCCCAGGAAACACTAATAGGGATAGTAATAAGAGAGGTGTTCAAAATTACCCCCCAAAAAAACCACAAAGAATATGCAACTTTTGCTAATAAGCAAAAGCATTTAAAAATAGGAAACCAGCCGGGCGGTGGTGGCGCACGCCTTTAATCCCAGCACTCGGGAGGCAGAGCCAGGCGGATCTCTGTGAGTTCGAGGCCAGCCTGGGCTACCAAGTGAGTTCCAGGACAGGCGCAAAGCTACACAGAGAAACCCTGTCTCAAAAAACCAAAAAAAAAAAAAAAAAAAAAAAAAAAAAATAGGAAACCAATTCTTGATGACCACGTGTTTAGTTGTCAGTTACTGGTCTAGGTATGACAGCATGGCCATTGCTTGAAAGCCCAGTCTCCTGCCCTCCTGGCTCCTGTCCATTCTAGACCCTTTCAACCCATTCTGGACTATGTCCTCCAGGAATGGTTCACAAGAGCTGTCCCACCTCCGGCTTCAATCAGACTAATGGAAAGCACCTAGGGAAATGTCACCAAGCAGGAGGATAGAAATCAACCCTCCCCCCATCACCACCAATCTAAGGCAGTATAAGGATAGCACCACCACCACCACCACCACCACTACAACTTTCCTGGCTCCCCAGACCTGCCTTCCCATGGGGCCTGGGTAGGAACTACTATGTTCTGGGTATCCTCCTCATTCTTTAAGCCTGCTCCCTAAATAAGCATTCATTAAATGATTTTCAGTTAAGACCTTCTCAATGTGCTTCTGTCTTGCTTGAACTTAAATTTTTTCAGATGCTGAGCCAGCATCATGGTATTCTCTTGCAAATCTCCACTGATACAACACCAGAGCAGGTTTTCATAACAATCACTCTTCCAAACTTTTAAACTTCTCCACTATGCAAGCAGGCAGAAGGTATTTTATGCTTAAACAATATCAAAAACATGCATAACACTGAATCTTGAATGTGCAAACATCTTACTGAAGACCATGTGGGAACAGAAGCTGGTTCACAAACAGAGACAACTGCTACCCATACTTAGGAGAGTAATAAAACCAGGCTGCCTCACACCAGCATAGCAGGAAGGAAGGAAGCTGCCCAAAACTACAAATCCTAACATCAGACAGACTTAGGAGCCAACCAGGATAAATTCCAACTGAGGGACTATTAGGACAATCTGACCACCACTAAGAGAATAACTACGGCAGATTAAACACAACTGACCTAAGAGTCTATGACTTAAAATTATTCTAAAACAATGCTCAGGAGCGGAAGTTGCTGCAGGTAATTACTTTGGAAATGGGCAAATTTGGAAAATCTCCTGTCTAATCTGTGCCTTGGAAGACTTCCTAGCTAATAGACACATTACAGGAAACAAACCTCTGTGACTACTTTAAGTTCTCCAGAAGTGGAAGTACAGGATAGATACAAGAGACTTCCACATACCTTTACTCCCTATACTAAGATTTCAATGTGAACAACCTCTACACCTATATTCATTTACATAAAACACAAGGGGTTAGACTGTCTAAAACTAAGCAGTCAAACAGAAATCCTAGAAAATATATCGTTTTGTTCCTCTCAAAAAGAACTCAAGGCTTCAGTTTTGATAAATGGCCTCCGAATGTCATGATTCAGTTAAAAACATGGTCTCCAGGGTGGTGCTGGTGAAAGTAATGAGATTCTGAGGAGACAGGGCCTAGTGAGAGGTCGCAGGAAGGTTCACAGGGGATAGTGGGACATGAGTACAATCCTGGCTCATGATACGAGTGGTTTTACCTGGATGTGCCTCTAACATGATGTGCTTCCTCATCAGAGGCCCAAAGCTAATGGGCCACTCCATCATGAACTGGAGCCTCTAAAACTACGAGCCAAAAAAACACAACTTCCTATGTTGAGTGTCCAAGCACTTTACTGTAGTAATAGAAAACACCAACGGGAAGGACCTTTATCTGGATATAATTTCAAACCATAGAAAAGCAGTCATGTACCTGCACTGTATGAGAACACACTGACACAGGCACAAATGCAAACCTAAGAGGTAAAAGAGCAAAAATGAACACTAGCTAGAACTGTATAAATAGTCAGGGATTTCTCTTGGACTCAATGTGGCTGTATGTGTAAGCATTGTATTTTAAGAAATAGTCTCAAATGCTTCCAGGTGAAACGACGTCTGATTTCAGGCGTTTGTAGACTGTACAGATAAAAACTGATCATCACTCAAGTTGGGTGACAGTACATTGGGTTCAATGTGCTATACTATACATTCACATGTGCCTAAAAGTCTGAATAAGTTAAATATCAATTGGTATAATCAATTTCAGGCAACTATACCCTGTTAAAAACTTAACTCTGTCAGAACCATACAACACATACATACATACCTCTCCCATCCACCCACACAAATAAGATATATTTCTTCCACACCCTAACAGTCCTTTCTCTAGAATCCTGACTGATACACCGAATGAGTCAGGAAAGGATAGTCAACCTTAAGTTGATCATCCAAGACTCTACTGTAAATCATTCTGTAAACTTCTATAGGCACTTGTTCTTAAACAAAATCAGTACATAATCATAGCATATTTTTTGTTCACTTGCCTCAGCACCTAACACAGCCAGCCTGTACACCTCCAGCACTCCTCCTCTAAAAGTAGAGATCCCCCCAGAGGCACACTGAGCTGACATCAGCTATTACCAACTGTTTTCCAATGTGTGTGCAAGTGTGGACTATTAAGCAGTTATGTTCACCTACATTACTAGTTAGGGAAATGAAGTTAAAAATCTACACATATTAAAATTGCAAAAATTTCAAATCTCAACAACTACAGGGAAGGATACACAGCAAAAGGTACCGTAGCATCCAAATGGTTGTGGTGTTGTTCTATAAACAGAGAGAAAGCAAGTTCATGCTCCGCACAGCTACCTACAACACAAGCTTGGACTGGGCCCTGGTGAGGCCTGAAGAGACCTCCATCAGCCCAGCAAGGAGGCTGATGTAGGACAGGACACTGAAGGGCCAGCACACTATCTCTGGTAAAGATCTCTGTATCCATCAGATGACCGCAGACATCACACTGACACCCTAGGGAAGCCCAAGTGTGCACACACCTGTCCCAGTCCTCATCGGCAGCTCTTCTTCTCCAGGACCGTTCTGCACCAGGCTTGTCAAACTGGTCAAAATCATCATCTGTGAAGAAGAGTCCACTCAAGTCAGTTTTGTTAATCAAGGCAGACAAAAGGCAATTAATCAACTAGGATACCAGCTTCCTTAGGAGTCCAGCTTCACCCTCCACATACAAAGTTCCCCATATAGCAATCAGAAATCTTAAACCATCCTGAAACATTAGTAAAATATTTTATTTAATAAAATAAAAGCAATCCAAAAATTTATTGAATACTAGGTATGAAAATTCAGTGAAAACAGCATTTTTTAAATTATAACTTTTTACTGCACAAAAGGGGCTAAGTGATTTTTTAAAAATTAGAGACTCCTATAATATTAATTTTTCAGCTTTCACATTTTTCTAAATAACAGAAATAGAATGCAAGCTATGTAAAAGTTTTCTATTTATTGGCTACATTTTTCTTTTTTTTTTAGGTTTTTCGAGACAGGGTTTCTCTGTGCAGCTTTGCGCCTTTCCTGGATCTCGCTCATCTAGACCAGGCTGGCCTTGAACTCACAAAGATCCGCCTGCCTCTGCCTCCCAAGTGCTGGGATTAAAGGCGTGCGCCACCACCGCCCGGCTATTGGCCACATTTTATAAAAAGTAAAAACTGTCAAACCAGCCGGGCGGTGGTGGCGCACGCCTTTAATCCCAGCACTCGGGAGGCAGAGCCAGGCGGATCTCTGTGAGTTCGAGGCCAGCCTGGTCTACAAAGCGAGTTCCAGGAAAGGCGCAAAGCTACACAGAGAAACCCTGTCTCGAAAAACCAAAAAAAAAAAAAACTGTCAAACCTTAAGGGACAAAATTTTAACTGTATTAACTTGGTATATCCAAAGTTTGACCACTAAGGCCCAGGAATCAGAACAGAAGTCAGCAGTGAGTATTTTGCTTCATATGAAGTCCTAAGTGCATTTACACTCCAAGCACTGCTCACATCTCAACGTGGCAAGAGGCCACTAAGATAGCTCAGAACATCAGAAACAGAGCCCTTATTTTTATTTATTTAAAAAAAAAAAAAAATCAAGCCAGGCGGTGGTGGCGCACGCCTTTAATCCCAGCACGCGGGAGGCAGAGCCAGGCGGATATCTGTGAGTTCGAGGCCAGCCTGGGCTATCAAGTGAGTTCCAGGAAAAGGCGCAAAGCTACACAGAGAAACCCTGTCTCGAAAAACCAAAAAAAAAAAAAAAAATTGATATATATATATTATATATATATATATAATATATATATATCAATCTATTATTTACCTCACAAATTTGCTGGAAGTTTAAATTTGTATTTTATAATAGGAAAGGCACTTGATGGTTATTTTTAATGTTAGGAAACAGTAAGAACTGAAATTAAAGTTTTCATGTGAGACATGCTGGGGGGGGGGGCAATTGCAAAGAAAGAGGCAGCAGTTGTTGCAAAGAAAGGGGCCCAGAACACTTGGGTGACACAAATTCCTATTGCCTAGGGCATCTCTCTAGCTCAGACTGGAAAATTAACCACTAAGGTTCTAACAAAACCATCAATCATATCAACCCTTACCCAGATTAGACTCCTGAGAGAACCTGATAAAAACTGTTTTTAGTGTAGTGGTGCACACTTTTAATCCCAGCATTTGGGAGGCAGAGGCAGGTGGATCTTTGTGAGGTCAGCCCGGTCTACACAGTGTGAGTTCCAGTACAGCCAAGGCTACATAGTGAGACATTGTCTCGAAAAAACCAAAACAAATAAAACCTGTTTTTAAAAAATGACTATTTTTTAGAACCTCTGGTATCTTTCATCACACCACCAGCCTACCTGCTACTGAGGCTCAGCTATAGGGGGATATCAGTGGGGAAGGAACCCTTCTCCCACACCAAGACCCACCAGTAGGACACTCAACCCAGATGTCCCTGCTGAAGAGGGAAACAGAAGCTTCCCAACTTGTAGGTGACAAGCAGTCAGCAAAGGAACCAACAAGCAAAGAACAGTGAGAAACCCAGGGAGAAGGAGTAGGCAAGCCAGCACCCACAGCCACTCCAAGGTATTCTTGGCATCTCAAATGCCCATTTCCAGGGGAAAAAGGGGGTGGAAGTTTCCTTGAGATTGAAATAGTCCATCCTGAGGGGAAAATTCTTAAGTCAAAGGTATACAACTCAAAATAGCTTCAGAAAGTCCCTAAAACTGACCAGATTCACTAAGCCCCACCCCCAAGAGTAAACAATAAAGACTGCTGAGAGTCATTCAGACAAGTCAAACTGCAAATCTTGAAATCAGACCAGACCAGTTACCCTGAAAAGATTTGGATCAACTGAGACACTTGGAAGACACTTTACAACATATTGAGCTGCCTGCAAACTGTGTAGTGAGCTCCAGGTTCTCAGCTTTTGTGGGCTGTCACCCAGGCTGGGGTGGGTTTTAGTGATGCAGCTGTCTTTGAATTATGTCTGCTCCTGTAAGAAACCTCTTACCAAAAAAAAAAAAAAAAAAAGAAACCTCTTACCCATATTCCTGTTAAGTAACCCCCATAGAACTCAATGATTCGCCAAGCTGGACTTTGGTCTGTTGTGAGTTTATCTGGGGTGAGTAGGCAAAAGAGAGAGAGAGACAGAGACAGAGACAGAGACAGACAGAGAGACAGAGGAGAGACAGAGAGAGGGAATTTTCCCTCTTCCCAGGAAAAGTCTTATGACACAGCAGACAAAGAAAGAGAAAGGTATAATCCTTCATACATGGGATGGGAGGAAGCAGGCAGCAGAAACTACTTGTGAGAAGTTCATAAAAACATTTAAGTAGCCATCACAGATTATTTATGTTCAAAGAACTAAATGAAACCAGAAGAATCAAAAAGTAAGATAGCAATGCCACAGCAAAGGACAGATAAAGAAGCAAAGCAGTACAAAACCAAATAAATCTTGAAATTAAAACTAACAGGAGGACAGGAAAGATGGCTCAGCAGGGATAAAGGTGCGTGTCACTGGGCCTGAAGATCACAGTTCAATCCCCAGAAGCCACAGAAAGGGGGAGGGGCAGGTCAATTGCCAAAGTTTGAGGCCAGCCAAAGATATGAAGTAAGTTCTAGGACAGCCAGGGTTACAGTGTGAGACTCTGTCTCAAACAAACAAAATTCATTTACAGGGGTCATAAAAGCAGATTCAAGCTGGCAAAATAGAAAGTAACATCAAATGACCACTACTGCAGAAAATTTGGACCATCATTATCCCATGAATATAAACACAAAAGAAATAACAGAAAGAGGGTACAAAGGAGCAGGAAAAATACCTGAAGACATAGCTAAAAACTTCCCCCCAATTTTTAAAAATTGGCCTTCATATCTACAAAAGTACAACTAATTTACAACACAATAAAAAGAGACACACATACCAATTAAAATGTCCCAAAGGCAAAGAGAAAATCTGGAAAGCAGAGGAGGCCTCATCACTACAAGGTAACCACAGACAATGTGGCTCATCATCAGAACCAGGAGCTGGGGTTGCAGTAGGATAACAGAACTCGGAGTGCCTTTAATCCTGGAAAACTATTCTATACAGAGATGAAAATAGCATGCACAAAAACCCACAAACAAGATCTCTGTGGCTAGCAGATCCACAGTAATTGAATTATGCGCTACAAAACAATATGTGAAAATAACTCCGTTACCGTTTTTTTGAGATAAGATGGAATTGATTTCAAGTTGAGGTAATACTGGACATTAAGAGGACACTAAATCAATGGCTGGTGTCCTTGTGAGGAAAAGGAGATTTGGACATAAGACATACACAGGAGAAAGGACCATGTAAGGCCAAACAGTGAGGCTTCTAGACAAGTACCACCAGAACTGGAAGAGTATGGTATCCAGAGTAGGGACCTTCCAGTCTCCTCACTGTAAATCTGTTTCCATCAGGCTACTAACTTGTGCTATTTAAATATGCAGATTTATGCCTTCCACCTGAATCAGGGGGGTGCTTGTCCTCTGTCTGCCATCCCCTGAGCTCTCTTCCTGGATGTGCACGTGTTTCGGTACATACACTTCATGGTATCCCACAGATCCTACAGGCTTTTCCCCCTTCTCTATTAAATGGATACTCTCACAGACCTCTACATTTGTTCAATCTCCTACTGAACTGCCCAGAGATTATTCAGAGATTGTACTTTTTAGCTCTAGAACTGTCCCTTGCTTCCTCTTTGTAATTTATCTTTATTACTCTGTCCCATTTCTGAGCACGCTGTTCTCCAGAATTCTTTTAGTGGATGCTTGTTCATTTGTTTTGGTTTCTTCTTTTGTGGCCTAGGATTTCTTAAAGCCATTTGAGTGTTTAAGACAGTTACTTCAAAGTGTTTCTGGGCCTTCTAGTGGGTGGTTTCTATTTCTTTTCCTTCTGGAAATAGGTCATACTTTCCTGGGTTCTTTGTACAAACTGATTTTTTTTTCATTTAAAACTATGTATCTTAAATACTGCAACAGAGTAACAATTAATCTCTCCCATGGCCATGGTTGCTGCTATTACTCATGAAAGCTGTATCCATTAAATGACTTCCAAACCATTTCTGCAAAGACTATTCTACCCCTTTTTTAATGTGTGTACTGAAATCCCTACCCACTCAGTGACCCAACAGAGTTACCTTTAAATACCTCAATACAAGGGAAGGGAAAATTCACCAACATTGCATGGCCACAATAAAAATGAAATAAAGTGAATCTGAATCAATACTCCACAAAAGCACAAAAAGAAAGTCTTTATTCCTGGGCTAGGCAAACATTCTTTCATGTAACAGCAAAACCAAAACCAATGGAAGATCTGACAAACTGGACACCATCAGAACCTACAGCATCTACTCCCCTAAAGGCACAATACAGCAAATGAAAACAAGCCAGACAGAGCTCTTTTTTTCCCTGTGCACTATTCCACTAAACTGTAGAACCTGAGTATGCCCAAGCATAACAGTGGGTAGCCTGGACCTCATTCACCATGTTCAGCATGAAGAGTACTATGTGTGGGATGGAGTCCTAACTCTGGGGTTGTCAGAATTAAAAGGAAGTACTGATGTTACAGAG